CAAAACAGACACCTGAAAGTTGCAATGCAAACTCTGCTCCCTTTGCACTTGCATCATGGTGTAGTTGTTTCCTTTTTGCTCTTGGCCTTGATGATGATGTGGTTGGTGTTATTGTGGAGTTATTATGTGCCTCATGCTGCACTCTAAACTTTCCCTTGTCTTTCAGCTCTCCAAATTGATTGCAAGTGAGCTTTTCAAATAATGTTTCTGGGAAACCAGTATTTTGATTCAGTTTCTCTGGAAGGCTAAATTAGAGGTGAAGATAATAGTGTAAACAAAATTAAGACACATGCTATTTGTCATATAAATATAAATAACACTGACAAGGAAGCTCAGAACTGAGTGGAGGGGATGAGAGAATTTAACTCTTTCCCACTCTGATTTACACCAAATTCACTTGTAACCACATAGGTTACAACCTGTATTTTAAAGGGAATGCAAATCATTTGCTTAACTGAATGGAAGACAGCCATGTCCTTAAGATGCTCAACTTAGGAAGAGTAAAGATTAAAATTAAAATTTTGTCATCTTTTACCAGGTTCTTAATTAATTTAAGACCCCCTCAAATATTTTTAAAGGTAAATATTTGGTCTAGTTTTCTTTTCAAGTAGATAGTATATATACTTTGAAGAGGCATGATTTTTACAGCAGACTATGGCATAAAAAGTAAAATCAGCAGATTTGTTTGATCTCTGACAGAGATCATGTATTAATATCTTTAAAATGGGAAAGAACAAAATAAAAATCACTCCAATAGTACACTAAGAGTGTTGGTATCTACATGAAACATGGAGTGCTGATGGTCAACTGGATAAGAACAGAATGAGGGAGTACATGCATCTGAAGAATGTTGGTTCAACAGCCTTGTTGACTGCAGAGCAGGAGAGAAGCATATCTTAGATTTATATGCACCCATTCTGCAAAGCAACTTTTGGCAGCTTATAAATTTAAATAACAAATAATAATGTCTTGTAGAAGGCAATTACATGTTGCAACCTTTTGTTGCAATATCCACTGTAATAGCAGTTCCATAAGAAGTGAGTCCTAAAATAAAAACAATGCCTTTAGAAGAATGTACCTTTTTGTTCATAAACTTTAACATGTCATTCCTGTCACATCTCACTGTGGAATTTTTATGGTCTCTTCATCTCCTGGCTGTCTCTCCCAGAGGTGATAGGTTCCGGCCATCTGGGTTTCATCCCTCCATTGTATCATGTGTAGGTTATACAAATTCGATATAAGATTAAATATATTCAGGTTACATCAAGAAGAATTTCTTTATCAGTCCCCCCTCGCCCTTTTCTTCTTCCATTGAAGAAATGACAGATACACGGATCTGACACTTTGCTTGTTGGAAGCCATCTGAGAAGTTTACAAATTATGATCACATGATCCCAAGCAGGACAGTGCAACCATGGTAAATACATGCCCAAATTTTAATCACATAACTGTGGAGATGTTGCAACAGTCATAAGTGTGAGGACTAGTTGTACATTTTTTCAGGGCTGTTGTAACTTCAAACAGTTGCTAAACGAATTGTTGTAAGTCAAATACTATCTGTAATAGTCTTCAGATAATGAATTGAGGATTCCAGCTGAATTTCTTAATGGTAAGCACAACTTGAAATATAGAACCAATTACTTAAAGGTGGGGTATTTCCTCTTGTTGAATGTGCCCAGCACTTTGTCAGGGATACTTTAATTTTGATTTATATGCTGAACAGATGGCTCAGTCTATGATTCTTTGATCTGGAAGAGATGTTTAAAACTGAGGTGAAAACTTTGAAATCCCAGTGGTTTCAGACAAGGCTTTTGCCATCTTTTCTCCTGGTTTTATGATTATAGATGATTTATTAAGTAAGTTTGTATCTCTATTTTTGGCTTCTACAATGAAGCCCAAATGTATCAGCAGCACCAGCTAATGGCTAACGTAAGTTATTATGATTAAAATCATAATCTGTATTTTTCTTTAATTCTCCAAACACTTGCTGCCACATAGTCAAGCCTAACCATTCTGTGTTTTGTTTTGGGGTGTGTTTTGTTTTTTTTTACTTTATAGCAATCTCTCCTCCCTTTAAGGGATAATACACATTTGGGATGATTTGCTATTTCAGGAGAACGTCAGAAAACAGTTATTAGATGCTCTCTGATTTCTGTTGTGGTGGAGTGAGTTTTATCTATCATTTCTAAACATCAGAGCATGGTACTGTAAAAAGTTAGCACCTACCCCTCTCCTAGAAGAATGAAATATTTTGAGAAATATTAAAAAGGCAGGATAAAATATTTCCCCTAGAAGAGAAATAAAAATCCTAAGGGAGACAGAAACTCAGAGCTCTAGCTCCCTGCTCCAAGCAGATACTAAGCTGAGGCCAGCTTTTAGAAATGCAGATTTGGTCGTCCATTACTCCCTGCATCAAGGTCTGAAGAAAGGTAGGATTATTTATTTTATTTTATTTATTTGTTTATTTTTGTCAATTGCTAACAAGATAATAGGTATAAGTAAAAACATAGTTATGAATACATGGATACATATAAGAAAAATAAAAAAAATAAAAGAAACAATAGGACAGGGACAGTAGGCACATTGGTGCCCTTATGCCCTCAGCGATAATAGGAATTGCCCAACACCCTTTCAGAACACAAGCTCCTTCATTGTATCATCTCAGTTGCACCACACCCTCCAAACTGCGACCAAACCTGGAAGCTCAGACAACCTACAGAACCAGCTATGACCCCTACAACAGCCAACAGAATACATATTCTGGAACAGCGGAAACTCAAGTTCAAAGCCCAAGAGAAGATATAAAAACCCACCCCTCTCAACTCCGTTTTGTCAGCTGCCCAGAACTCATGTGGTTCTGCTTCATCATTAAACCATCTTTCCAAACAGCCTCCATGTTTCCAGTATCTTTCTCCTGGCTTGGAACTGAACCAAATGGATATTCAGCAGGTTCTGACCAGTTCTGGAGAACCAGTAATGGAAATTTTGAGTAGTTCGGAGAACCAGCAAATACCACCTCTGACTGGAGATTTTACAGTATCCTTCCCTTGCCACGACAAGCCACGCCCACAGAACCAGTAGTAAAAAAAAATGAATCCTACCACTGTCCCAACAGTATTTTTCACAGAATGAAATAAGACCCATTTCAAGCTGCACTCAGGGCAGATCATTTTGGTCACCTCTTGTTAACAGAAGTATTAGAAAACTTGGAATGCTATCACTGGTGACAGAATCAGTAGTACATGGCTAAGGAAACCTGGCTCTCTTTTCTAGCTTAAATTGACCTTCTGTACAACATAGATCTGAAGGAAATGCTAGCCTTGCCTTTTATGCCTTGGTAGAACTATCTTTCAAGAGTATGTGGAAAGGGAACTTCATGAGGACAGTGGTGACACCCAAGCAGGAAAAGCCCAAAGGGAACATCAGGCCAGCCATAAAACAAACTTGCATAGGAAAAGAGATTTAATAAAAGGTATTTGAAAGAAGCCCCCTAGACAAAAGCCAAGTAATTAAGAAAGCTAGGGAAACAAGAAAAAGAAATCCCTTACAAACAAAAGGTCATGCCAAATCAGCAAAACAAATAGACAAAAGACACGAAATAAATTCCATAGCAGACAGGAGATTGCCACCAAACAAATATAAGAAAACATTAGGAAGACAACCCCTGACAGGATTTAAAACATTAAGAAATACAAACACAAGCACTCACACACAAAAGGAGAAAAGGTATAAAAATCAGGGGTTTATTATACAAAGATGGCTAGCCCCAGGAACGCAGACTTCTTGCTATCTCTTGCCTTCCTGAAAAATAAAAGGAACCCGCTTCCAAGCAGTTGTCTCTGTCTGTGTCCTTGCACCGGAGCGCTCCCAGCAGGAAAATCGAATCCTCAAAAGAAAGGCATTTTCCAGCCTTTCAACAAGTACTACGCACAGAATATACAATATAATAAGCCCAAAGTAAGGCTAGTAGATGCTTTGGAAAGTGTTCGTTAGGCAAGATGTGGTCAAATGCTTCAATTGAAGACAGATGTTCATTGATCCTGAACTCCAAGCCCAAATGACCATGGAGACCAGAGCCACAAAGATAATTTCTGGACACTGTAATTGAAAACACTGAAAGCAGGACATGGCCATGCTATAAACATAGATACGAGGGCAACTGGTTCTCAGATCAGTTCAATCTTTCAGATGAATGAAAATATGCTGTAGCGCCAAATAAAAATACCAATCTAAGACTCATTTTTTAAAAAGCCATGTTGTACAGGCCCTGCCTTCCTTCCTTCCTCATTTCCTAGTTGAATTATTGTAGAACCACCAAAGGGTATTGGGGCACCGAAATGCAGCTGTTTTTGTAGGTTTTTTGAACAACCTACAACTGTAAGCATAGATTTCTTCTAAAACAGTGTATTATCCTGTCTTCCAATGTTCTAATCTAAAATACTAATTTCCGGGTTAAATGAAATACACTCTTGATCTTTAAAATTGCTGTTCTATCTAGCCACCATCCTTATGTCCAGCATGGCTGGAGTGACCCTTAGAGTAACTTAGTATTTATCTTCCAGGCTTTCACTGAAGTTTCTCCCCTTTACTTTTTATAGAAAGAGTAAATATCCAGTGCTTCCGAAGTCAGTCTGTGTTGGGGTTCTAATCTAAAGGGTTTTAAGGATATGGTTTTTCTGCGCATTTAAGGAGAAGAAAAACCTCGCATGAATCCACGCAGCACACCCTAAAATGGATTCAGCGCATGCGTTGTTGACCCCGCCCCCTTCCCCGCCGCCCCGTCCCGCGTGCCGCAGAGCCAGCCGTTCTAAAACGCCCTCCCGCGGGGCGGTGTCATAGGAAAAGCCCTCCCCTCCCCCTCAAAAAACCGACCCGGAAACATCAGTTCAAGGCGATATCGCTCTACATGTGAGTCCATGGTGTGATTCTATGGAAGGAGGAAAGACCGCGCGGCGCCTCTACGTCACTTCCCGTCGGCGTTTCTCAGTCTCAGCCTGGGATCTGCCTTTGGGTTTGGCGCGCTTTTCCTCCGCGCGCGGTCCTCCCAGGTTTCTGAGGGCTAGATCGGCGCGAAGGAGCCGCTGACAGTTGGCTGGCTTTGACGGGGGAGATTTTCTTTTCCTCCGGGTCAGCTCTTGAAGCGGAGGGGGCGGGAAGACGGCGTGAATTTGTACGGCAGGTGAAGCCTTGGGGTGAGGGAAGGCAAAGGCGCTCCAACGGCGATCGGGAGCCTTGAAAGGAAGAGCTGAGCCCGGCAGGCGGAACAAGGGAAGACTTGGGACTTGGGCGTGGCGTGGTAGGTTTGCATGGGTTCTGCCTCTTCTTGTTGCTGCTATTTTTTGAATGTATCAACCCCCCAATTCCAATGGACTCTTGCTCCCTCCTTGCAAAGTACTGGCATGCAGGGAACAGAAGGTAACTGGCATTTCTAATCTTTCTTTTTATGTATATATATGTGTATGTATCTATCTATCTATCTATCTATCTATCTATCTATCTATCTATCTATCTATCTATATATATATATAAATGCGAAATACCCTCATGCATCATCACAAAATCTCCAGAACCGTAAAGCCTACAAACTTGAAATCTGGCACTTATGTTCCTCGTGGCTTCTAGGTGCTCACTAAGAAAGGATTTTTCAAAATGACCATCAGAACGTTAGTATTTCCTTTATTTTTATTAACATGCTCTGATGCTAAGGAGTTCTACTCCCCCACCCCACCTGAAAAGAAATCTCTTCCAAATGCAAAACACAAGCAGAGGAGAGTTTCAGTTTTACTTTCACAGCTGCAAGCAGTTTTAGTAAAAACAGTTGAGCTAAGACACGCCTAGGCTTCTTGCTGTCTCCTTGCTCACACAGCAAATACTGTTTCAGTTTCCAAACAGCCCTCAACTCTCACACACTGACAAGACGCTAGCCAGATGAATACCGATGGATGCTGGTAGGCAGAGGCACAACTTTTCCCCCTTATTCTTCCAAAAAACTAAGCCCGATCACATAGTTTCTTAGCAAAGCACAGGTATAGCTGGTATTGCATAATACTATATGAAAGGATGCTTCACAAGCAGTAGCTTTTACATCACCAATCTCAGATCCTGAAATTTAAAGGGGCTCTTGAGTCAGCCCCAGCTCAGGGCAGGAGTCAATGTGATAAATGGCTGCCAAAATTAACATCAGACCAACAGTCAAGAAGTACCGGTAAATAGCAATCCAATCAAGGAACTGCCTAAAAAGCTAACAGTAAACAAGCCAAAAGACCCCCAAGATCACCCCCACCAACACTGACAGGGCAAGCCACTAGAATATAAACTTGAGAGGAAATCCCACTTCCTTAGTAGCACTGAAGATGCCCCAAAAGGTGCTTTTTCAGGAGGCAACTGGACTTCCTTGTTTTTCTTTGAAGACGTTTCACTTCTTGGATGAGAAGCGAAATGTCTTCAAAGAAATAGAAAGTCCAGTTGCCTCTTGAAAAAGCACCTTTGGGACAACTATGATCTGGATGACTGAGAATCTCCATAGACGTTTAGCATGGATGATGTTACCTAGTTCGGGTAATAAAATATCTACAAAAAACAAGCTCAGAAAACAACAACTTCAAATACGTCTTCCACCTAACAGAGTCATTTACTGAGATGGGTGATTATAGAAGTCAATCAACAAGCAAATAAATAAACATGTTCTTAAAGGTTTACGTTCTTGTGAGTTTCAGCTACTTTTTGAGATACAAAAAGTGGCAGCTGGTGAAGTAAGCTACATCTCATGAAAGTATGCTTCTTAAGAAAAACATGCTATGTCAGAAAAGGTGCTACCAGATTCCTGATTTCAAGCTCTGTAGAGTACTTCCCTGATTACTCACCTAATTTCTTCGTCTCCAACAGAAATCGTCTACGTAGCTGCTTAATTCTTGAACACAATGTTCTCAGAGCAGGGTATCCAGTCTGCACAGGGCCTCTTGACATCCCCGTCTGCAGTGACTTCCACCTTTGCCCGCGTGCCCATCTCAACATATACCAACTGCTCCCAGAATTTCAGGCTTGGGGAGCGAACTTTCAGTCGGCAATACGCTCACATCTATGCTACACGCCTTATCCAGATGAGACCGTTACTGGTGGACAGAGCCCGGCATAAATGGGGTGAGCTTATCATCCTAATGAAGTCTTGTTTTGTGGATACTGCAGGACATTGATGACGTACGTAGTATCGCAGTATTTTTTTAAAATCTTGATATGTGCTTACTTTTATAATATGCTGGTTTGGAACTTCTATTGAACATCCTCCCCCCCCTCCCCCCCCAAAAAAATAATACATAAAATCTTACATTGTGAGCCCAGAAACTAGACAGATGTTGGACTTTCAAGCTGGTTGACCAGAAGTAACCCTTCTAATTAACAGATAACAGATAATCAGAGTTAGAAGGGACCTTGTAGGTCATCTAGTCCCCCCTGCCCAAGCGGGAGACCCTAAACCATTTCTGACAAATGGCAGTCCAATCTCTTCTTGAAAGTCTCAAGTGATGGTGCTCCCACAACTTCCAAGGGCAAACTGTTCCATGGGTTGATTGTTCTCACTGTCAGAAAGTTTCTCCTTATTTCCATGTTAAATCTCTGTTTGCTCAGTTTCCATCCATTATTCCTTGTCTGGCCTACAGGCACTTTAGAAAATAGTTTGACCCCTTCCTTCCTGTGGCAGCCCCTCAAATATTGGAACTACTATCATGTCTCCCCTGGTCCTTCTCTGGACTAGCCAAGCCCAGTTCCTGCAACTGTTCATTGTATGTTTTAGCCTCCAGTCCCCTAATCATCCTGGTTGCTCTTCTCTGTACTTTTTCTAGAGTCTCAACATCTTTTTTATAATGTGATGAACAAAACTGGATGCAGTACTCTAGGTGTGGTCTTACTAAGGCTTTATAGAATGATATTAGTACTTCTCTTGATCTTGATCCCTCTGTTAATACAACTTAGGATTGCATTAGCTTGTTTGGCAGCAGCTGCACACTGCTGGCTCATGTTTAGCTGGTTGTCCACTAAGACTCCAAGATCCCTCTCACAAGTTACTGCTATTGAGCCTGGTTTCACCCAGTCTATACTTTTGTTTTTTCTTGCCTAAGTGTAGGACTTTACTTTTCACCACACTGAATTTCATTTTGTTAGATACAGCCCAGTATTCTAGTCTGTCAAGATCCATCTGGATCTTGAGCCTATCTTCTTGGGTGTTAGCTATTCCTGCCAGCTTAGTATCATCTGCAAATTTGGTAAATACCCCTTCTATTCCCTCATCTAAGTTGTTAATGAAGATATTGAAGAGTACTGGGCCTAAGATGGAACCTTGTGGCACCCCACTGCTTACTTCCCTCCATGTAGACTTAGACCCATTAAGGACTACTCATTGAGTATGGTTTGCCAACCAGTTGCGAGCCCATCTAGTGGTGGTGCTATCTATTCCACTTTTTTCTAGCTTACTAAGAAGTAGGTTGTGGTCTACTTTGTCGAATGCCTTGCTGAAATCTAAATATATTATGTCCACAGTATTTTGCTAATTTAGTCACTGTGTTGAAGTAAATTAATTCCACATCATAGGCTCTTAACATTTTCTCATATTTAATCCATTGTCTACTTTTCCTAAAGGGAGCAACATTACAGTGAAAAAGCTATGCGAGTTGCAGATCTCAGAAAAGTGTTGTGTGGTGGGAACACTCTTCAAGTGCATGCAGCTTCAGCCTTCCATATTACGGGAAATCAGTGAAGAGGTATGAGAAAAGAACCTTACAGGTTTCATTCAAGAAGCATGGGAGGTGTCAAAGGCAGGCTCAGATATCTTCTGCATCTAAAGAGTCTGCAACTGATTTTCAGACCCTTTCAAGTTTTGCAATGACCTTTCTGGACTCACAGTCCTAGTGCCTTGTATAATGCTGGGGTTAAGAAAACATTCCCTGAACAAATTCCTCTTGCATAATAATTGCTCAGATTTGTGAGCAAAAATAGAAATTTTCTGTCTGGAAGGACTTATTGTCTGTAAAACAGACTTACTGTTTTAAAAAACTGCTCTCTTGCACAGTTGGCTTAACATTTAGCTTATTTTGGAAAGACAATTTATGAGTAATATTAAAATTGTCCCAGTAAGACATTCAGACATGACTTAATGGCAAACGTGTTGGAAATTTACCACCAAAAATTGGCTTTAAAAGCTATTGATTAGATGAATAACATCATTTTGTTGGTTTGTTTAATAAAACCCACTTGCTGTTTTCCTGAGTGCCAACAAACAAAATAGAAACATCTTAGGAATTACTGTTGATCCATTAGTCAGAACAGATTGGGAAATCAGTGCTATTTATTCTAAGATTATTTTGCCTCATCTGTTTTTTGTGGTTGATTCATTGCTGTGTAGTCAATGACTGAAAATATCATAAATCCACAGGGCTGTTGATGATTTCAAAAGTATTATTTCAGAATGTTAAGAGTCTAATGATAAAAATGTGGGAGGATTCAGCCATTTCCAATTGTCTGTCTGTGCATGGGATGTTGGAGAAAAATTGTGGGATCAGGGGGTAGGTTGTTTTTGCCAACAAATGCCAAGTTTTTCCTGTGGAGGAAAAGCCTTCTGCCAGGACTTTTTGAGTTAAATGCACAGTGGAAACTTGACTTTCCTGTTTATTGAACATGTGGTTCTTCAATCTTCGCTTTAACTCTGCAGTCTGAAGTTACTTAGTTATCTATTTACGGACTGCAGTATTTTTTTCTTAAAATGCCGCCAACATAAAACAATTTTATTTGCTGTAAACCACTAGTGACAGTGGTAGAGAAGCCTCTGCTCTGCTTACCATGGGAGAGCAATAGAATATGTGATGATTCCTAAAAAATATTAGCGGGCATTTCTGAAGGTAGTATAGGTAATCCTCGATTTATGACCACAACTGAGTCCAAAATTTTTGTTGCTAAATGAGACATTTGTTATGTGAATTTTGCATTTTACGACCTTTCTTGCCACAGTTGTGAAGTGAATCTGGTTTTCCCATTGACTTTGCTTGTCCAAGATCACAAAAAATGATCTCATCACCCCAGGACACTGCAACTGTCATAAATAGCATCCAAATGTAAATCATGTGACCATGGGGATGCTGCAATGGTCATAAGTGTGAAAAACCCTTATAAGTCACTTTTTTCTCTGCTGTTTAATTTTGAATGGTCACTAAATGAACTGTTGTAAGTTGACGACTACTTCTAGAATAAGAGGGTATTAAAAAAGTATCTTACAAGCCACAGCAGTACTAAAACTCAAACTATCAATTTGAAAACTATAAAAAAAATCACTGATGGCCATAGGATAATTCAGTGCTTAAGCAGCTTTCCAGAATAGGTCTTGATGCTCCCTAAATGTAAAGCAATGAGAAATGAGTATGTTGTATCCCATCCAAGTATTTTGTTCCTAGACTTTTAAACACCTGTGTTAAAGGTTCAAAATGTATCTGGTGGTCATCTAAGCTCCTAGGAGCCATATGTTCAGCTTCTACAATGCAGCAGCTGCTGACTTAACCAGGGGAGGATGATTTCAGTGTTCTCAGAAAAGCTTGATAAGCAACTGTATCCATACATTGGTGCTCTCCTGGTGTCAGCCAGTCTGCCTTCCTTATCTGATTCTTGAATTGAAGAAAAGTTGGAACAGAACATTGACAAAAAAAAACCGTAGTCTAGAATTGCAGGCATTCTTTTGACTACACCCCAGTATTTCATTTGGAAATGCACCCCTTATTGGAGGGGGGTGGGAGTTAAAGGTTAGATGGAGGGATGGAGACCATTTGCGGGGGGGGGGAGGTGCAGGAGAGCGACTGGAAGAAACTTCATCAGTTTGCACTATGCTAAATTGTTTGTGTTCACCGTAGCAATTTTTTTGTGAGCCTCTTAGGCCAAGAAGTGATTTAAAGTTAAGCAGCTTAAAATCTGTGCTTTAGCTCCTGCCAAGTGTATCAGAAGCTCAGCATCAAAGCTGGTGCGCATTTTCTTCTTCCTCACAGCAAGACTCTGTTCATCTTCACAGCACAACCTGCCTCCCCATCCTCCCCGCCTCAAATACATTCACGAGTCAGATGAACTGATCCTGGAGGATGAGCTGCAGAGGATCAAACTTGAGGGAGAGATACCTATTGACAAGCTGGTGACAGGTGGGCTGATGACCCTGTTTTGAGCTTCTTGCCCTTGACATCTTTTGAATGCCTGGCTTTTGTGGAGGCAAATGTTCCATTCGATTACTCACATCTGTCCCTTTCTGCTGTTTCAGGGACCATCCTTGCCGTCTATGGTACAGAGAAGGACGATGGCAGATTCCTTGTGGAAGATCACTGCTTTGCAGATATGCCAACCCAGCTGCCTATGATGGGGCCCAGCACAGACAAGTGAGGCCCCCTATAACCTTGTCCCATAACAATCTCTGCTGAAGCAGTCCAGGGCTCTCTGTCACTCAGAATACAGGTAGTCCTCAACTTATGACCACAATTGAGCCCAAAATTTCTGTTGTTCGGTGAGATATTTGTTAAGTGACTTTTGGCCCATTTTATGACCTTTCTTGCCACAGTTGTTAAGTGAATCACTAAAATTGATCAGTTTATAACTTGGTTGTTAAGTGAACCTGGCTTCCCCATTGACTTTGTGAGTCAAAGGGTTGCAAAAGGGGATCACGTGACCCAGGGACACAGCAACGGCCATAAGTGTGAACCAGTTGCCAAGTATCTGAATTTTGATCTCATGATTCATGGGGATTGTAACTGAAAAATGGTCATTAGTTACTTTTTTCAATGCCATTGTAACTTTGAACGGCACTAAGTGAACTGTTGTAAATCAAGGACTACCTGTACTTTTTCCACCAATTGCCAGTCTAGAACTGGAACAAGGAACAGGCTCCCAGGTTTGTTCTTGTAAGTGGCCATCTGCAGAGATACGATTCCTCAGAGTTCTCTCCTTAATGGTGGATCAATCAATAATTATATGTGTCGGCCACGCTATAAGTTCCCCGTCTTCCTTTGGTGGTATGGACCTTGGAGTAGCTACGATGGCATCACTGAAACTTAACAGCAAACTGACAAAACACCATGCACCCTTTTGGGCAAAGAAAGTAAAATAGATGCACGAAACCTTGACTAAGGGTAATGCACATATTGTCCTTTTTCTTTAAAAACAACAATCCCTTAGGATAAATGAACCTAAAATTGTTCTCTGGTGGCAGCATGGCATCCCTTCACCCTCATGGCTGCTGGATGCTCATTTACAGGGACCATCTTTGTGGCCGAGAGATCCTAGTGATGGGCCGGCTTCCCTTCTTTCCTTAGAAGTTTCTTTGTTAAGTGTCCCGACATAAGCCATTTCCCAAATACAAAGGCCACTCTGTGTTCTGACCGCTGTGGCTTGTATTTCACCTTGCAGATTTGTCTTGCTGGTGTCAGGCCTGGGCCTTGGTGGCAAGAGTGGAGACAGTCTCCTGGGCATGCAGCTTCTGGTGGACATGGTGACAGGACAGCTGGGCGCAGAGGGGGAGCAATCCAGCGCGGCCCTAATTTCTCGGGTCATACTGGCAGGCAACTTGCTTAGCCAGAATACCCAGAGCAGAGACAGCATGAACAAGGTGAAGGTGTCAGAAATGTGAGCCACACTATTAGTGTGCATTGCATTTATGTTGTGTCTTTCTTTCACTCTCCATTCCAAAGAGGATGCATTTATTTATTAGGTTTATTTTTATCATATCATTATTGTAGTGTGAACAAGGTGGTGACAGTTGCTAATACTCCCTCCTATTTTCCCCACAATAACCATCCTCTGTTGGGCTGAGAGTGATTGGCCCCAAAATCACCCAGCCAGCTTTCGTGGCTAAGGCGGGACTAGAACTCAATCTCCTAGTGATTGGCCCATCCAGCTGGCTTTCATGCCTAAGGAGGAATTAGAACTCACAGTCTCCTGGTTTCTAGCCTAGTGTCTTCACCACTAGACCAAACTAGCTAAGATGTCTAGTTCTGTTCCTTCAGATGGAATATCACAGCAAACTCATTGATGATCTTACAGTAGTCAACCAATCCCTGTGAAAATTTCTCAAGAAAATTACTATAGAATATTAAAACAAATGGATAGCTCAGGCCAGGATTCCAACCTATTGTAGTCATGAAATCTCCAATGGGATTTTTATGCTTTACCAATTCAACAACATTTTGGTTTATCTCCTATTTTGAGTTGGGAAGTTTTGAGCCTCTCTACCAACCCATTCCAGACTGTGCTATCACTTTCTTTGTATGTGTTTCATTCCATCTTTTGAACTTCGATGTTAATCTTGAATATCAGTACAGCCCTAGTCCTTGTTAAAAAGAGATTTAACAAAGGGGATATTTCTGCCTTATTAAATGGGGAAGAGCCCTTCAGTATTATCCTTTAGCTTTTCTTGTATTCATTCAGCATTTATTTCATTCCCTTTTAATTCATACTTCACTCTTTTTTGTACCTTGTCATGCAGGCAAAATACCTCACCAAGAAGACTCAAGCAGCCAGTGTGGAAGCTGTAAAAATGCTGGATGAAATTCTGCTGCAGCTCTGTGTAAGTTTTGTGTCAAGAAAGGGTGAAGAAGCTGTTCTGTTCTTCCCTCTGTCCATGGTGAGCAGTGTCCCCTGGACCTAAGGGCTTGCCCACTCTCCCCTTACAGATGTCCATCCCTATCGATGTGATGCCAGGTGAGTTTGATCCAACCAACTACACGTTGCCTCAGCAGCCCCTGCATCGCTGCATGTTTCCTCTCTCAAATGCATACACCACCCTGCAGCTAGTCACCAACCCATACCAGGCAAACATTGATGGAGTCAGGTAAAAACCAGCATCTTTGTTCTGTATGGTTGTGGGACCAGAATTTCCATCGCTAAGCAAGTCGGTTCTTACGAGAGTCTTGCCTGGTTTTATAATCTTTTATGCCACAGTTGTGCAGCAAATCACTGTAATAAGTTGTTAAATGAATCATGCGGTTGTTAAACAAATCCAGCTTCCCCCATTGACTGTTTGTCAAGACCATTTTTTTCAGCACTATTGTAACTTTTAGCAGTCATTGAATGGTTGAACATTAAGTGAGGCCTGCCTGTATGTTACTCTGAGTTACTCTGAAAATATACGTAGAATAAAAATATAATGCATTAAAGTCCCTTCCTTGACATTGTACACCAGAGTTTCTTCTTATTCAAATATAGAACAATTGCCATTTTTCTCTGTGTAGGTTTCTGGGAACTTCAGGCCAAAACGTAAGTGATATTTTCAAGTACAGCAGCATGTCTGATTATCTGGAAATTCTGGAATGGACCTTAAGGATTGGGCATCTCAGCCCCACAGCTCCAGACACTCTGGGTAATATAACTAAGAGATACCTTTGCTGGGTTTTGTTTGTCTTATTTTAAGCTTTGCAGATGAGCTAAACCAACTCTCAGTTTGTTTGACCTAGGGTGTATTATGGGGGATTAAAGTCTGGTTGCTAGCAAGACCTCTCAAATATGCAGCTCGTGCATTTTGGGGTAAAGGAGGAGGGGATGTTTGCCTGTAGTAGAAGATCAGTGTCTGCTTCCTTCTCTTTGTCTTAATTTCTGTTATATATCTTAAATATATGATTAAATATGAGATTGCTCTATCATAAAAGAGTGCCCATAGTATCTAAGCCAGTGAGAATTCAATGCAGAAGCATAAAACTTGAGTTGCAAATGGAGAATACAGTACCTACATTTTCAACAATATCTCCTAGGGATGTACAGTAGAACATTGTAGGTAGAGCATTCTATGCACAGGATAAAGCATCTGTGCTTTGTCAGTGCATGGAACTGGAGCAGGTGTTAAATCCCTGCCCCGACCTGAAGCTTGTGTATTCCAATAGAACTGTTCTGTGGGAGAGAGCAGGGAAAAGGAAGGCTGGATGTATGCTTTGGCAGGAAAGTAAGACTAGATCTCTTGAGTGGGTGTGGAAGGAAAGAAAGCACAGGGAAGATGGGGATGAGGCCCAGTGGCTATGCATATATGCTGCATTTGGATTCAACCTGAGGGGAGGGAGGAAGGTGCCAGAAAAATCATAGGGCAGAAACACCATGGAGAGAAGGAGGAGCAGCAGAGTGAGGTGCACCAACTGAACCCCACTTACCCTTTCAAATTCCCTTGGTTTTGGCCCAAACCCAAATCAGCCTAAAATGATCTGTTATTTTATAGGGAGGTCACAGCCTGCCTGGAACTGTCAATCTTCTGAGGCATATCATGTTGATTCCATGCAAGGAGCAGATCACATGTTTTGCCTTAAGGTTGACTGCTGGTGGGCCATTTATTTAAAGTCCCTGATCTGCCTTGTCTTTCAGGCTGTTACCCGTTTTACAAGACAGACCCTTTCATCTTCAGTGACTGCCCTCATATCTATTTCTGCGGCAATGCACCCTCCTTCAAATCCAAGGAAGTCAAAGGTAAGCTAGTATTGGCAGCTGCGTCTTCTGCAAGACAGGCTTGACTTCTTCCTGGCTGAGACTTGGTGGGGTTTTTCCCTAAGGGTGTAAGCAATAAATTGGAAGCCACTGTCCTGCAAAAGACAAAGTTCCACTGCCAGATAGAAAAGAATAAAAGCAGGTTGGGAAGCCCAGGATGCATCACTTGAGTTTCATTGTCCCAGCAAATAACATGATTTAACCACAGTTGATTAAATGAACATATTTGCTGGATCTCCCATCATGCTAAATCAGAGTTGGCAAAGAGAAACCAATAATTTTCTGGTGGTTTTTCTGGGGGGAAAAGGTTTTTTTGGGGGGACGGGACTGCTTGTTTAGTTGCTTTTAAAATCAGTAACTTCATATAAATATTAGGATTGACACAGGATATAGACCTGCTCTTTGGTTCCCCCCGCTTCTGTAAAGTGGATTGCTCCATGATGGAGTTTGCTGTCTCTTATGGGGTTTGTTGCAGAAAGGAGCCTGAACCATGCAAAACAAAGGGGGTGGAGGGTGGCAGACATTGCCAAATCATGGAATGTTCTCAATATACCATAGAAATTTCTCACAATTCCTCTGTGCAGAGGTTTTGATGTGGCCTTTGTAGTTGTTGCCAGCATAACATGACTGGCTGAAAAAGCTCACCCCTGTGTAACCAAGGTGTACTTGAGCCTACAATATTTTGCCCAACAGTCTGGGAAGTGAGTTAAACCAGGCTTTTGAAATGTTGCTTGAAATATTTGCAAGCAGAACATTCAGATGCAAGATTATATAGTTTTCTGTTATTCAATGTAAGTCATAAATCTGTCCCAATAAGTTAGATAGTTCAATGTTTTTGTAAGTACCGAGACCCTTTCGCATCTGCATCAGTTCTAGTTTTATAAGTTGGCTTATTTTTATTAGATATTTTTGTTAGCAGATCCCACAACAGCTACATTAGCCTCTACAGCCCTGGAATCTGTCTTATACCAAGAGCTTTGTTCATCCAGCCCACTACCACCTGCCCCAAGTCTACTGAAAGTCAAATAAAAACTGCCCTAGGTAGAAAAAAATGTCAATCCCCTGAATTGCAAGTTGTTTCCTAGAATATTTTATGTCTTTACCATCCCCTAATCCTTAATCCTTTCTGATGAGAGCAGGGCTTCAACTTGGGAACTGTACAAAGCACACTCTCTGCCATGGTAGTAGGGCAGGAATGGGCAATGTGAGTACATACTGCAAACACGGCTGAATCTGGTGTCTCCCTTGGTGGCTCTAAAAGTCAGTGGTGAGAGAGAGGTAAATGTTAATACAAACCCTGATAAAGATTAGAAAAGCTTTCTTAAAAACCAACAGCAATCAGAAATGTTTTTCCCAACTTGGGAAGAGGGGGACAAGAGAAAAATACTGACCCTTTCCTCATCCTCGCTTGTTCCTTCCAAAGTTCTGATAGTGGCCTTCACTTTACTTCCTTCCTCCTTTGCAGGAGAAGATGGACAGAAAGTCTTGCTGGTGACACTTCCTGATTTCAGCTCAACACAGACAGCTTGCTTGATCAATTTGTGCGATCTCACTTGTCAGCCGGTTACTTTCTCGGCCTTTGGTGATGATGAAGAAGAAGAGACAGTGATGGAGACTGGTGACTGAGAGACATGGACTTAGGTCTCCTTCTTTCTGGAACTTGGTAGTCCTCCCTGTTCCTGCATTTTACTGTAAAGTTTGACCTTTGGTTCAGATAGATAGGAATAGAATAAAATATTCTGGTTTGTTTGTATATGTTTGATCTTCATGACCAAAAACAAGGGAATTTCTTGTATAATTCATTTTATTCAATGAATACAACTGTTGGAAAAACAAAAAGGCTCAAGGCGACCCTGGACTGCTTCCTGGGCAGCAGCTGCTTCAAACTTAGAAAATCACAATCTTCCTTCTTGACTGTTGCAATCAAGGCAACAGCTTTCCTTGATGTTAGGAGGACCACAACAAAGTGATACTGACTTTGTAACTGGGAAACAATTAGGTTGTATCAACTCCTCACTTTGGAAAATACCCAGAATGCTGGGTATATGGGAATTCAAGCCAAATCAAGTGAGCAAAACTGAAAGAAAGCCATTTATGCTTTGGAAACTTAACCTGATTGGCATATTGAGAAGTCAAAAATAGATTTTTCCCCTCAATCAATTTTCAACTTAATCAATTTTTGCTTGGTTCTAGTTATGGCTCTTATTCTAATGCTTTAAGAATTCTTTCACTTCTTAAATAGAACTCGAAAGAAATATGAATTTTTCATATAGCACATCTCTTTCATAAAAGTATTAAAACTGCAAATAAACAGTCATGGGAGCACTTGGATAAAACGGTTGGGTTGTGTCCCAAATATGTGTCAGTGCTTGATGGGCTCCATTATTTCAGTGGGAAGCATGGGGAAGCAACAGCTGTGGGCCACTGGATAAAGGCCTAGCCTGCTTCTCTCTCTACATTGCAAGAATCCTACACTGTAGATTACAGTAAAGCAGCTGCCCCCAACCTTTTGGGCAACAGGGACTGGTCTCATTGAGAAAGTTTTCCATGGACCGGAGGGGGCGTGGTTTTGCATGCTCCCTACATCCTATGGATGGGGCTTTGCTTGTTTGCGCTGCCCAGTTGCTGGCATGCTGAGGACCAGTGCTGGTCCTTGGACTAGGGTGGTGGTGCTGGGGACCCCTGCTGTAAAGAACATCATAGAGTAGAATGGAGTAAAAAAAAGTGAATATACCAGAACGATAAAGATTAAGCCAGATTATGTTCTTAGCTTGTTCCCTATTCTATAGTCAGTCTGAGATGTACAATTCGTTCACCTCAACTTTCCATTCAGCAGGGCTTTAGTGTTCCAGCCCTATATAGAAAGCTGAGCCTTTTTATCCAAAGAAGAAAGAGAAAATTGTTCGTTCGAAAGTTGTGTGTGTTTGAAAAATAAATGATGCAAATGTGACGGCTCTTGGAGCCTGCTTAAAGCAAGGGGTTCCTGGTGGGTCCTAAAACTAGGAGAATGTGCCTCCACATACTACAGTGAATAGATATCACTACCTGCTCCAGAAGAGGCGGAGTAGGCTTTAGGAATGTCTTTAGAGCGTTCCTGGCCTGCAGGCCTCACAAATTTGACAGACTAATCCTAATCGCCAAAGTTCACTGTGTACGTCTCTGCTGTGGTCATGGGAAAGGCTGTGCCAGTCATCTCCGCCTCGGTTATTTCCTCCGTTACGGTTTCCCATTCTGTCACCGTCTCCGTGTAGACATCGGCATCCCAAGAAGTGGCTGATTCTGCTATGGGAGGCTCTTGGCTCCATGGTGGGAGCGTGGTGCTGCTGAACCAGAAGGGAAATGCAGAACTTGGAGGAATGGTGGTGGGAATGCTTGTGCTGGTTTTCCGCAGCCGTTCAAGCATCTTCTGGCGCAGGCGAGCTCTTTGGCGCATCCTCATCCTCCAGCGCATGCGCTCCTTAGGTGTCATGGGTCGTCCCAGCATGGGCCTCCCAAGAGGGTGGTTGCCGTTCATGGCTATGATCTCTCGGATGCGTTTCCAGTTGGACCGTGACAAGATGAAGTTGCACTGGGTGGCTCCGATGTCATAAAAGACGCTGCAGGTTTTGACACTCGGATTGTAGGCTTCGGCCTTGGCTGTAACACGATATTCGCCAGGATTCAGGATGCGCCAGTAATCGCCTCCACTTGCTGGAAAACAAGAGAGCAACATCTGATGAGCCATGGTGGTACAGTGGTTAGAAAGCAGTATCACAGGCTAATTCCGACTGCCCACTGCTAGCAGTTCAGGAGTTTGAGTCTCCCCAACCCAACGTTGACCCAGCCTTCCATCCTGAAGTTGGTAAAATGAGGACCCAGATTGTTGGGGGTAATATGCTGACTCTGTAAAATGCTTAGGGCTGAAAAGCACCGTGAAGCTGTATATAAATCTAAGTGCTGTTGCCATGATGCTGAAACTGCTTGCAAATAAGGAAATGTGTTCCAGTATTTGAAGGGTTGCGGAGAGTCAACCTATTTTCCCGAAGCACAAGAAGACAAGACAAGAAACGATGGAAATTAAAGAGGGAGAGAAACTAGAACTAAGGAAAATTTCCTAACACTGAAAACAACCAGAGGAACGGCTTGCCTTCAAAAGTTGTGGATGCTCCATCACTGGAGGCTTTTGGTCTGAAATGGTATAGGATCTCCTACTTGAGGATGGGGTTGAACTAGAAGACCAAGGTCCCTTCCAACTCTGTGTGTATGAAAAAAGGCACATGCGGCTTCCGGTTTGAGCTTCAGCGACAGACCGAAACCTCGTCTCTGCGAGGCTTCGATCCGTGCTTGCCGCTGGAGCGCCCCGAGCTGGCTGGTTTCAGGGCTAAGCCACCCTGTAGAGGTGGTGAAGAGAGGGGAGACTGCCAGCAGGGTTGAGGAGAGTTGCATCTCTCCTCTCCAGCTGGCCATTACTCCCTTTCCCGAAGGTGGTCAGAAATGGCCACCACAAAGAAGAACTCGACCGGAAAAGAATGTGCAGGAGGAAGATAAGAAGAGAAAGTTTTGGTTGACCGGGTCAAACAGCAAAAGCAACAAATAAGGTACCCTGGAATTGAAACTATTAAAAAACAATAACATTGTTCCCTAAGAAGATTTTTAAGGTGCGAAGGAGAGAGAAAAGGGAAAATATTTGGTTTTCTCCTTTTCCTATACTGACAACTAAGAGACTTAAGCAAGAAATTGGGGAAAAAATCCACTTTGACATCAATAGGCATTTAATGTTGAAAATAAAAAGTCAAAGGGATAATAAAGATTTCTGGATAATTAAAAGCTTTTGAAAACAGGAAAGGAGAGAAAAAGAATAAAAGGGTAGGATCTGGAAGGGAGGAGACTGCCTGGAATTAAAAAAGAACTTACAGCAAAATCTCAACAAGACTTCTAAAAGATACATTCTAACTGAAATATCGCAACAAAAACCCCAGGAAGAGAAAGTCAAAAAAGAAATAAGAAGATATAACTCGGGACTATCTGGATTACTTGATGATTTCTGGATTCTTGGTTATTGTTTTGAATGACTAAAATCAATCGGTTGGTTGTTTAAAACTGTTTAAAATGGCTCCACTTTTAGAAGAACTGAAAATGGAACTTAAAAAGTACAAAGAAGATGCACAAGAAGGGAGAGGTTCTTTTGGCTTCGTATTTCAGTTTTTAGAAATGGAGATTTGGAATTATGAGAAACAACAAGAAATGCCTGCAGAACAAGAAGATTGCGACAAAGAAGAAGCCATCTTTAATGAACAAGTAATCTTAGATGGGGGAAAAAAAGGAAAGGGAGGAAAGAGAATGGAAAGTTTAAGATTGGGAAAACAACTCCCCCCCCCCAAAAAAAAAATAGAGTGAAAAATAAGTATAAAATCAGAAAGCAACAGAAGAGGGAAATGCAGAAGAGAGAATTAGAACTAGGGAGACAAGGGGGTAAAAAGGGGAGGGAGAAGATGAGAGGGAAGAAAGAAAGGAAAAGAAGTTATAAAGGACAGAAGCAAAATATAGAGAAACAGGGCCTATTTAGAGAGAATGGGTGAAAACTTAATGGAAAAAGGGATTCTGCAAAGGTACATAAGATAGTATGGTTATCTTAGAAACAAATAATTTTAGAAAATATGAAACTGTATGATTAAAATGTCTGATAAAATAGCTACCGTAATTCAGTGGAATGCTTGTCAATAAGTAAATGTAACTAAAGGTATATTTAATGATTTATAAAACATGTGAAGAGAAATAAGGGAAAAATTAATTATGGAGATTATATGTGTTTTTAAGGAAGTATGATATTTAATTGAAAAGAAGTGTTAAAGATGTTAAGATTTTAATGATTATTAATGATAGAACTGAACTGGAATGGAATGAGGGTTTATAATTACATATATTTACAATCTTTTTTTTTAAAGAATATAGTGTGTATTATAAGAATGTACCAAGCAGAATTCGATTGGAAGTTATGTATTATGTATTACATTGAAGGTCATAAACTTAAGATATATATTGAAGTTTAAATAAGAGTTGAATGGATGTAATTAAAAGATATAAAGGTGTCATACTCCAATTAGTAACTACAGGAGAAAATTTGTTTAATGAGAAAAGATAATATGAAATTGAAACAGGACAGACAAAAGTATAAGTATAATGATTTGAATTGAGATGAGATAATCAAAATAAAATTGAGAAAATTAAAAGAGGGGAAAAACTATATAGAAAATGTAAAATAGTATAAGATATGGAATAGAATACAAAAAGGAGCATGAAATTGAGTTTTGTGTCTGTATAAAGAAGTTCAACCCGGGACCATGCTATTTTCAAAAAAGACGTTTTACTTGTATTTTGTATGTGTGAAAACCCAAATAAAACTTTATTAAAAAAGAAAAAGGGCACATGCTTTGCAAGCAAAAAGATCAAGGAGATCTGTGTGCTAAGAAGGCTCGACGAAAGGACTTGTATATTTGGCTTCACTATTCTAGGCATACCTGTTTGCACATCGTGTTTGATCCCCATCACAGAAATGGATGCATTTGCAATAGGATCTCCTTGTTGATCTGTCACTGTGCCCTTAATACCGCGATGTACCTGTAAGACACAGCCTTTAAGATTGGAAAATTACATTTTTATTTTAAATTGCTTAGATGTTGCCTTTCCTGTGGTCATCTACCTCAGATCTCCAGGCTTCCAAAAAGTCCATTAAGCTACTATGAAAAGACAGGTGCCTGCTAAGAACTCAGATGGCTCATAGGATACTTGGCATGTATTCCAAGTTAGTGCACTAGATATTTTGCATAGTACGCAATGGGAAAAAAGCATGTTCTGGTAATCTCCATCCACCAAAATGTTTGAGGGTGCTCAGAGAAGGACTGTACAGGAACTAACCCTGTAAACACTGTCCAACCATCCAATATTTCTACTGTCCTTGAATAGCAGAGACAGAAGAGCTAACCAAGCTTTCAATGCTCCAGCGAAGTACATAAAAACAATGTAGTTTAGCAGGTTAGGCACTGATCTCGAAGTCGAGATACTTAGATTTAAATACCTGTCCAGCCTAACAGTTTATTAAGTGACTTGGGGCCAGTCACTTAGCTCAAGATAATAAGTTCATTGGTTTATTGATGGGATAGTAAGTAGAGACTCTGCTCGAGACACCACCTTGAACTCCAAAGAAAAGATGGCTTATAAATGTAATTTTAAAATGTGCATTAATCATTTCCCTCTTTTCCATTAAAATGACTATTTGGAGACAACAAAAGAAAGTACAACTGTTTTCCATCTACTCTATCCAGCTAGCCAGCTGTGTTGTTGTTCCAAGTTGTTCTCTTCATGACTTGGTGAAGGACACTCACCTACTTCTACATGCAAGTAGAAGTAAAGGTATATTATTGGCTTAATCCTTATTGACTGAGCAGGTTATCAGGTGCACCTGATGTATATTGAGATACTCTAAGCACAAGGTGCTACTTTTCTATATCTGCCCTGCGTAGCTGAAAAGGTTTGTTTACTGCCACTCTGTGGACCAATTCTGCACCTCACCTGCTCCATGAATGTCAGCAGAGATTCCTTGTTGTTTTCCCACTCCTGTGGAAGTTCACTTTCATGGGGAAATTTGTCACACCCAGGATAGATGGAGAGCTCCAGACAGTTGGAGTGTAGGTAGCTGAAATCATTCAGGGCTGAAAGAGTTAACAGGAAAAGGACATCACCTTCCACTCTCCACTTTAATTCCCTTGACAAACTCGCTTCTACAAGTTGTATAAAGACTGCAAAGTCAGGATGAAGTGAAATTTAGAAAACCCAACTGATGTTTAAACCCTCAAAGGGTGAGAAACCAAACTTCACGAGAGAACTGCTTAAACAATAAATATATCCTATTTAATCTCATATTCTATTGGAGATCATACTGATCCAGAAATCTATCTAAACCTAGTGTCACCACTGCGCATGCATGCATGCACACATATACAAGATTACAATTCTGAAATTTCCTTATGCCTTTAAATTCTTCAGCTTGCTAATTCTCCGTTCCTTTTTGTGTTCTACAAAATGGGAGGATACTTTGAACCAAAAAGATCAACATTGTAATGAAAAAATATAGAATGCCTCTCATGTGCTCTATGCAAATTCAGAACCAAGCAGGAGAGGACCAAAAAGGCATTGGACAAACACGAGTTGAAAGCAAAAAGGAGGCAGGAGAACTTGAAAGAATCTTGTTTGAAATGTGTACATCCACATGCAGCTCTGTTTTATCAATAGCAGCACTTCTCCTAACAGATCAAATGGTTGAGGTTCCTTCTGCTTGTCTTCCATGCTTCATACTTACTGCCCGCTTGTGGTTTCCACTTGGCCCCATTGACAATCCCCATTCCATTGGTCACATCTTGATCCTGACAACCTCCACGAAACGTTTCCGTCATTGTGAGATGGGCCGATGCATAGGAAATCGCCAGCCAGCGGAAGATGGCATGGTCTGGGGTCTCTCTGACTTCTGGGTTTTCCTCTTCATAGTCTTCCAGGGATGGTGGCGGACCTACTTCATTCTCATTGATGGGCCGAGCCATGTTAAAAGGATAGGTAATGAGTTTCTCTCCCCCTTGGAAGTTGGCACCAAGCACAAAGGGGATCTTCTCCATCCAGGCTAGGATGGCCTTCACCTCAACTGCCACCTGGGAGAAAAAGGTTCCAAAGTAAAGTCATGGATGCTGGAAAGAATGTGATCACACCAGAATATTCCAATGAAAAATAAGTATTTTTTTTCTTGTAAGCCATGATTAAGCTGCTTTTTTCCCCCCATTTTAAAAGTGAAGCTATATAAAGTTCTACTTCAGTTTCCATCTCAACTCCTGGTGACTTAAAAATCAATTTAGTTTTCTTAGTAATACCACAGAACCAATCTCTCCTAGAAAGCTTTTTCAACAACTAGACTAAAGCCCTGTTCAGCTTTTCTAAAATCATCCAGCCCAAGCAGATGGAAAGAAACAAAAAAGGTTGGGTCACTCTTTTTAACTGATGGAAGCTTCTTAAAGAGAGTTCCAACTTAGAAGTAAGAAGAATTTTTTTATGACAGGGGCAACAATTAATCAATGGAATAGCTTCCCACAGAGTTGTGGGTGTTCCATCACTGGAGAGGTTCAATAATGGACTGGACAATTATTTGACTGGGATAGTATAAGGTCTCCTGCCTTGAGCAGGTAGTTGAACTAGAACAGGGGTCTTCAACCTTGGCAACTTTATGACTTGTGGACTTCAACTCCCAGAATTCCTCAGCCAGCTTTGCTGAGGAATTCTGGGAATTGAAGTCCACAAGTCTTAAAATTGCCAAGGTTGGAGATCCTTGAACTAGAAGACCTCTGAAGTCCCTTCCAGCCCCATGACTCTATATGTTTCTTGAACTGGATTATTTCTGGCTTTAAAAACCTCACATACATATTTTAGGGGCTGGTGGGTTTTTCCTGCACCAGCATGCTAGTTTTTCCTGCACCAGATGTTCACCCATCTTCTTCTGTCTGTGTACTTACTGCAGCATCTTCTGCAAGGTAGTGATCAGGAATTGGCATGTGGTGGTTGGGGACTCTGTGTGGTACCCATTTTCTCTCTTCTGCAGCCCAGAGGATGCTGTTGAGATCAGGGAAGTTCTCAAAGAGATCAAAGCCTTCTTCATTCCAATGTCCCAGAGCCCAACTCCCTAATTCTGAGCCCTGGAAAAAGGATGGTGATGATGTTATCCATTCAATTGTGTCCGACTCTTGGTGATTGTATGAGCCAGGTCTCTCCACATCTTTCAGTCTTACACTACTTCTTTGAGTTTTTCTATGCTCTGGCTGGTGTCAGTTTTGATGGTATCCAGCCACCATGTTTTTTGGCAGCCTGATTTCCTTTTACTGCTAACTCTTCCAAACATAATTGCTTCCTCCAGTGAATTCCTTCATGTGACATGGACAAAATGTGGGGGAAAGAGGACATGCTTGCATAATCATATTCATGGGTAGGCCTTACATTTATTTTTATTGTTTTTTTTGTTGCTTTTTGAGACAGCCTCAATCACAAGTAGGCCTCCCTATTTTTGTTTGTTCCCTGTGGGAACAAACCAATGCCAAAAGCTTTCTAGAAACTGTTAAGGTGTGTATAAAACTAACATGGCAGTTGTATATAAACACTAACTTCAAATTTGCAAGGCTGAAAATTGCTTGGACGCTTTGTGCTCAACTTGGGCAGAAGACCTAATTCTGAAATGGCTCAACCAGCCAACGTTTTTGTTTTTCTAATGGAGAAAGCAAGGAACAGCAGTGCAAAGCCAAAGCAGATCTTAGTGTGCATGAATTTAGAAAGTTAGCAAACTGGTATAATTGTTGTTGTTGTTGGCCCCAGCTGTTCCAGCTTGAGGTTCCCTCCATTTGTCTTTGGATTCCTTCAGCTCAGTCTACCGAGTCAGACTCACCATTTGGCTGGCAATCTCATAGCCATCAGGATTGAGCGACGGGACAAGGTGGATGCGGGTTTCCGTCACCAGATTCCGGATGCGTGGATTTCCATCCTTGAACTCTTTGCATATAAACTGCATCAGCATAAGCAGCAGCTCCCGACCCAACACCTCGTTGCCATGGATGCCAGCTGTATAGCGGAATTCTGGCTCTCCTATAATAATCCAAAATGAAAAGCTGCTGATACTCCATTAGAAAAGGCAACAAAGACCCCATATTTACATCAACACCCATCATGCTGTTCGTTCCTTTGGAAATCATATTATGCAAAAGGCAGAAAGAAAGTAGAGGGCAAAAGAAATTAGAAGCACATTTTATAAGGTAATGAATCTATTTTCTTTTTATGACCCTGTAATCCCTTTATTCAGGGTGGAGTGAGGGTGACTGAATGGAGCTGAGTGTTTACTGGCTAGATGCCCTTCCTGACACCTATGTGGAGTTTGCAGCAGCTCTTTATGTCCTGGTAAAGAAACCTCTGCTGCTGCCTAGGATTGAACACTCAGCCTTCTGAGTGGAAGATGAGTGCCTTCACTTCTAGGCCACCACCACTTACTTGAACTAATATTATATATATATATACTATTACGTATTGCTTCAATTATTTATGACATTATCTCTATCAAGCATGACTACTTTTGTCTTTAATATCATAATTTTTAGACCTGCAGGTAATCCTTGACTTAGAACTATTTGTTTAATAACTATTAGAAATTACAACAGGACAGGACTTCCGGTTTGAAGGGCTTCGGTGACAGACAGAAATCCGTGATCGTGCGCGGTTTCTGTCAGCTCGCCACTGGAGCGCCCCGAGCCGGCTGGTTTCAGGGCTAAGCCACCCGGAAAGATGGTGAAGAGTGGGGGAGACCACCAGCAGGGTGGAGGAGAGCTGCATCTCTCCTCTTCAGCTGGCCATTACTCCCTTTCCTGAAGGCAGTTGTAGCAGTGGTCAGAAATGGCCACCACAAAGGAGAACTCGACTGGAAAAGAATGTGCAGGAGGAAGATAAGAAGTGAAAGTTTTGGGTGACCGGGTTAAATTGTAAAAGCAACAACTAAAGTACCCCGGAATTTAAACTTACAAAAAATAACATCACTCCCAAAGAAGAGTCGGAAGCAGAGAAGGAAAATGAAAAGGGAAAGGTTTGGCTTTTTTTTCCTTCTCTCTCCTTCCCTATACTGACAACTAAGAGACTTAAATCAGAAATCAGAAAAATCCGCTTTGACATCAAGAGGCAATTAAGCTGAAAAGAAAACAAAATGCCAAAGTGATAATTAAGATTTCTGGACATTAAAAATTTTCTTTTTCATAAGCAGGAAGGGAGAGAAAAAGAATAAGGGCAGGATCTGGAAGAGGGAGGAGACTGCCTGGAATTAAAAAGAATACAGTAAAACTTCAACAAGACTTCTAAAAGATACATTTTAACCGAAACTTTGCAACTAAATAGTAACACCAGGAAGAGAAAGTGAAAAAAAGAGCAAAAAAGAAACCGCTTGCATGTATTTGGATTATTTGGTGATCTTTGGATTCTTGGTTATTATATTTGAATGACTAAAATCAATCGGGTGGTTGTTTAAAAATTTATACAATGGCACCACTTCTGGATGAATTGAAAATGGAACTTAAAAAGTACAAAGAAGATGCACAAGAAGGGAAGGGTTCTTTTGGCTTCGTTTTTCAATTCTTAGAAATGGAGATTTGGAACTATGAGAAACAACAAGAAAAGACTGCAAAACAAGAAGACTGGGGCAAAGAAGAAGCCATCTTTAATGAACAAGCAATTTTATGTGGGGAAGAAAAAGGAAAGGGGGAAAAGAGAATGGAGAATTTAAGACTTAAAAAAACAACCAAAGAAAAGAAAAATAATTCGAAAAATAAGTATAATACTGGAAAGCAACAGAAAAGGGGAATACAGAAGAGAGAAATAGAGGTAGAGAGACAGGGGGTAAAAAGGGGAGAGGGAAGAAGAGAGGGAAGAAGGAAAGGAAAAGAAGTTACAAAGGACCAGAGCAAGATATAGAGAAACAGGATCTATTTAGAGATAATGGGTGAAAATCTAACTGAAAAAAGGATTCTGTAAAGGTACATAAGATTGTATTGTTATATTAGTAATAGAAATAACTTTAGAAAATTGGAAACAACGTATGATTAAAATGAGGGATAAAATAGTGTAATTTAGTGAAATGTTTGTGAATAAAATAAGTGAAATAAAATAAATGAGAAAATTGAATTAGGAAGGAACGGGAACATTTTAATTAGTTAATGTTCTATAAAATATAAGTGAAGGGGGGTGGGAATTAACTATGGAAAGCTTATAATTGTTCCCATAGAAGTATGATATTTAATTGAAAAGTAATGTTAAAGATGTTAAGACTTTAATGAATATTAATATTAATGATAGAATTGAATTGGAATGGAATGTTGTTTCAATTATATACATTTATATCTTTTTCTTTTTTAAAGAATACAGTATGTATTTTAAGAATGTACCAAGCAGAATCCGAATGGAAGTTATGTATTATATTGAATGTTACAAATTAGGGAAAAGATATAAAGGCGTCATACTCCAATCAGTAACTACAGGAGAAATTTTGTTTAATGAGAAAAGATAATAGATAATTGAAACAGGACAGACAAAAAATATAAATACAATGATTTGAATTGAGATGAGATAATTAAAATAAAATTGAGAAAATTAAAAAAGGGGAGAAGCTATGCAGAAAATGTAAAATAGTAATAAGATATGGAATAGAATATAAAAATGAGCATGAACCTGAATTTGTGTCTGTACGAAGAAGTGTAACCCGGGATTATGCTACTTTCAAAAAAGATGTTTTATCTGTATTTTTTTTTCTCTTTGTGAAAACTCAAATAAAATTTACAAAAAAAAAAAAGAAATTACAACAGGACTGAATAAAATGGCTTATGACCAGTCTTCACATTTATGACCATTACAGCATCCCGACAGTCATATGATCAAAGTTCAGGTGCTTGGCAACCACCATGAATTTATGACAGTCGCAGCATCCCATGGTCATAGGATTGTCATTTGCAACCTTCCCAGCTGGCGGGAAAGCCAGATTGACTTAATGACTGCAAGATTCACTTATCAACCACACTGATTTGTTTAACAACCATGGCAAAAATAATAATATCATTGAATGCTATCAACACTTAACTTATTAACACCCTTCTGAAAATAACAAGTAAAATTTGTATGTCATATTGTGCATATATATATGTATGTATGGATGGATCTTTGGTTATTCGGGTTTTCTCCCACATAAAATTGGAAGTATCCTGGCGACGTTTCGACGAAATCTCATTCATCATCTTCAGGCTTGTGTCTTTGGCTTTGTGCTTCTCATACAAATACCTGCGAACACCTCAGAAAACATATATATATATATATATATATTAAGTTTATGTTATGTCTCTGTGTGTACACACAGACTCTTCTCTTGAATTAAGACGAAAAGATCTGTGATCCAATCTGCCTAATATTTTGGGATGTCTGCCTCTTTGGGGCCTGGCCTGCCAAAGGCAGTGGGATTCTTACCCAGTTCATGCTCGCCTGGATTATCGGATATCTCCATAGCGTAGATCTTAAGTCCTCGAAAGCTTTTGCCAATATTGTAGATGCGGGTGATGGTGGGACATTCTTCATTCACTACTTTCATCAGCTGCAAGGAAAGAAAACAATGGTACTCCCAGCCCGAAAATTGAAGTTAGAGATGGGATTAGAATAGGAGTGGGTTAATGGAAGCTTTTGAACCATTCACAACCTGCAACGGTGCTGAACTCCACCCAAGGAGAATTCATAGGGCATACAAGACACACAGACACACTGTTGCACTCAAATTGAAATTGAAACTTCAAATTGAATTGAAACTTTATCACCTACTATTTTTTAACCTCTTTACTTGCCTAAATCCTGTCTCCAAAGCAGCATTTCTTGAAGAGTAAAGATCTTTTTCAACATGCATATTTACCTGTCTCATATCCTTGTAGTTGTGATGGCGGAAGTCCAGGTTGTCCACTGATGTCATCACTTCGTTTTGCAAACTGTAATAGTTGTAGATGCCTGCGAAAAGAGAGGGGGAGCAGGAGGGGAAGAACAGATTAAACATGGCTGGAACTTTAATATCAAATCGTCTCCCTTTGATACCAAATGAATAGCTGCTTATTACCCAGTCAGAATTTTAGCTCCAATTAGAGCAGTTTTGCTAGCAGCAGACCTCTAAGAGTTTAGTCTTTCCCATCACCTTCCACAAATTACCTTCTTTTTAAATGGTCATTTTGAACTGGACAAGGGACCAAGGACTACTGTTTCTTCCATACTTACTGGAGAGGGGACAGCCCAGAACTTCCAATCTCATACAGAGACTACCATTCCACGTCAATGGGTAGAGCCGAATATAACGGGCCACCTTTGGTTCTGGAAATTCAGTCATTACGGGAGTGTCTTTGTCAACATTTCCATAAAAAAGCTAGAAAAGAGAGAAGGAGAAACAGGGAAAGCTTTTTTTGTTTTGATTTTTTGCCAATCAAGAAGATCCAGCTACCATATAATCCTTAAGCCTCTCATTTTTCTTTTGTTCAAAATCTTTCTAATGTACTTTAGCACTTTAGAGTCCTTTGGACATACGTCCATTAAAAGAAGTATTTGAAAAAAAAATCTGCCACACTTTTCATATCAATTGGTGCTCCCTTGAACAATTTTTAAATAGTTTTGATTATCCTATGAGTTTGCACCATCAAGCGCGATCATTTTCTCTGCAGTCCTCTGGAAATTAATTTTGAAATTGATAGACAGATTTGCAAATAAAGGAATAACCAAAGTAAAGAGTGACTATGGTCCTCAAACTTTCTCAACCCCCTTGAATTCAACAGCACAGTACAGGTCCTGGCTAATCAGGATAAAGTTAATCAAAGATAAGGTCAGACTGACTTTTTCTACTTGACATCCTTTAGCTTGTTAGGACTAGAACCTCCATAATTCAAAGCCAGCAGAGTCACTGCCAATTTTTGGAATTGCTGTTTCAGCCCATCTGGACGCAGTCAGTCAGGTGTGAATAACATTGTTAAAAGACAAACCATTTCACGTCAGGCACCAGAAGGCTTTTCCAAGATCAAATACATACCATTTCTTCATAACCATTACTGTACATGAGCCAGTTCTGGCTATCGTTGCTAAAGCCAATGTAGAAAGTGGTGACAAAGTCCTCACTAGGACAGACAAAAGAGAAAGAGAAAATGAATCAATGGGAGCTAGAAAGCTCATTGGAGGTAACATCAGTGTTCTCATCTCTCCCCCTTTTAAGAAAACCAGAATTCTAGTCTTGATGAAGAGAACCTGAATATATGGGAGTGATGCTTGGTAAGGACTCAGAAGCCAGTGGCCTAGAGGTGGAGCTCTCGCTTCACAATTAGGAGGCTGTGAGTTCAATCCTAGGTAGAGACTAGATGACCTCCAAGGTCCCTTATTATTCTATGATCTACTTCCACTAATCAGAAACTGGAATGCCCCAATCCTATTTGCTCACTATAGCAATAATTATACAATAAGCAATTATAAGTTCTTACTTAATACCGTACCCATCATCTAGAATTCATTTTCTTCTTTAGTTGCAGAATTGTAGAGCATGTGGAGATCTAATACAGAGCAACACTATATTGTGGTCCACTTTTCCCATCCACATCCATTTATTTCTCCCATTCAACTGATTCTCCAAGACCCCACACATACAGCAGACTTGCCCAGACCCTCACATACTGGAGCAGAGAATCCCGGCCTTGGGTGATGACGCCCGTGAACTTGGTAATTCGCCTAGTATCCACTTGGATCCACTGTATGCTACTGTCATCTTCTGCACACCATGCACCATCAAAGTAATCATTCTCATTGGATCCAGCCTGGAGGGGCAAAATATAATAAGAAAAGCACAGAAGTACATCTTTAAATCAGCACTGAACTGATTTAATGCATGCAAAGCATGCAAATTGTTCAACTTTCTGGGAAAAGATGTATTTTAACAGATTAACAGAGTTGGAAGGGACCTCCCCACCCAAGCAGCAAACCCTACACCATTTCTGACAGATGGAAGTCCAGTCTCTTCTTGAAAGCCTCCTGTGATGCCCTCACAACTTCTGAAGGCAAGCTGTTCCATTGGTTGATTGTTCTCACTGTCAGAAATTTATCCTTATTTCCAGGTTGAATCTCTTCTTGTTCCGTTTCCATCCGTTATTCCTTGTTTGGCCTTTAGAAAATAGGTTGATTCCCCTCCTCTCTGTAACAGTCCCTCAAATATTGAAAGACTGTTATCATGTCACCTCTGGTCCTTCTCTTCACTAGATGAGTCATGCCCAATTCCTGCAATCATTCATTGTATCTTTTAGCCTCCAGTCCCCTGATCATCCTGGTTGCTCTTCTCTGCATTCTTTCTAGGGTCTCAACATATTTTTTATGGTGTGGTGACAAAAACTGGATGCAGTACTCTAGGTGTGGTCTTACTAAGGCTTTATAGAGTGGTATTAGTATCTCATTTGATCTTGATTGTATCCCTCTGTTAATGCAATTTAGGATTGCATTGTTTGTTTTGGCTGCTGCCACACACTCTTGGCTCATATTTAATTGGTTGTCCACTAAGACTCCAAGATCCCTCTCACAGTTACTGCTATTAAGCCTGGTTTCACCCAGTGTATATGTGTACTTTTGGTTTTTCTTGCGTAAGTGTTAAGTACTTTTCTCTATGTTGAATTTCATTTTGTTAGATACGGCCCAGTGCTCAAGTCTGTCAAGATCCATCTGGATCTTGAGCCTATCATTTAGGATGTTGGCTATCCCTGCCAGTTTAGTATCATCTGCAAATTTGGTAAGTCCCCTTCTATTCCTTCATCTAAGTCATTTATGAAGATATTGAAGTATACTGGGCCTAAGATGGAACCTTGTGGTACCCCAGTGCTTACTTCCCTCCATGTAGACATAGTACTGTTAAGGATTACTCATTGAGCATGATTTGTCAGCCAGTTACAAATCCATCTGATAGTGATGATATCTATCCTACTTTTTTCTAGCTTACCATGAAGTAGGTTGTGGTCTTCTTTGTCGAATGCCTTGTTGAAGTCAAAGTATACTATGTACACAGTATTTTGCTGATCCACTAATTTAGTCACTGTGTTGAATGAAGCGAGTAATTGCTAACACCCAGAATTGCTGGGAATTTGGCAGCAAATAAATTTAAATTATGGATGGTCACCCAGTCAGCTAGATGTTTAAACTAGATTTGACATTTTGTCCACCTATTGACCCCTTCCCAAGGATCTAGGGCAGGCAGATGCTGTTGGTTAATAATATTTAATAATATCATTGAAGGATGCAAACTGTTCCTAGTAAAACTGCCTTTTGCAATTGACTGATGATGGTGATTTTGTCAATGCCAATGATGTTCAAGTGGTGTTCTTAATGCTTGGGAATTTGAATCAAGGTATCTATATTACTACTGATACTATCTTTACTTTCTTCTGCCATAGGTATTCTACTTCTATTCTACTTCTATTTTGTGATTTTTCTCCATTCTTTCTCTTCCCTTCGGCTTTCTCCAGGTATTACAAAGGCCACTATCCAGACTTTTAATTTACATATTAATATCATTTCAGAGACATAGATTTACTACTTGAGATATCAATTCCAGGAAATACCTGCATATTGAGACGTCCACGCTGAGCTCCTAAACCATGTCGTAGCATGGAAGAAGACAAGATCTGATCATCCTCAATTCGATGAGATTCCATTCCAATGGGAGGGCATTCTGAAAACCAAAAGACACAGACAGGTCACATTTGCAGGCACTTTGATAAGCAGCTGCTGAATCAGTTGTCCAAAGAAACTCTGAAAGGAACACTTTTGAACTGGTATATAGTCAAGCAAAGACCTTCAAACGGCAAAATACAGAATGATTAGGATTTCACAAATAGATACAATAAGTTGCATCGATGCATCTTTTACTCCTATGTACAGGTAATTCTTATCTTACAACCAGAGTATTTGCCGCCTCTTCTACTAAACAGAATCAAGGTGGGGTTACTTTGAGTCTCTTTCTCACACTCCCTTCTTTCCCAAGACTGAGGTGCTCATTTCTCATTTGTTTTCTCTCAACAGTTCTTCTACCAACTCTCACATTCCTTTGACAGTGTGATCCCTACATTCCTTTACACTTACTTATTTTCTCTTCTGGAGTCCACACATTTTCATCAGTTTCCCATTTTTTCCCTCCTGTTTTCTTTGGCTTCCCTGCATGCAAGGAAGAGGCAAAAGAGAAGTTATTCAAGTAGGAAAGAAAGCAAACAAGAAGATAAAAGACAGTAATTGAGAAACTGATGCATGAAGGGGAGGCACTGGATAGATAAATATTAGAGATATCTCTCCAATAAATATTAGAGATATCTCTCCAATCTTCTGAAGTCTATGACCCATAGGAGCTGCTTGGCAGAACCTAAGCACCAATTACTCTGCATCAATAAAACACTAGAGCAAATAATCTTTAAATTACAAGCTCAAGAAAATGCTCCTCTCTTCTTTCTGAAGCTTACTCACCTTTCTCCTTGCTTTTCTCCTCTGTCCATTTGTTCTCCTCTGTCTCACCCTCCTCTTCCTCCTTGCTACTGCCTCCTCCTTTCTTAGGTTTCTCTGATCCAGAGCAAAGAGAAAAAGTGTTAATATCAGGCACTGAGATTCCCAACAGTGCATACTCAATCTTTCTCACTTTCTTGTTTGTTGGGGCAAATGTACAGATAAGGAAGATAAGTGACTGAAAAGCAATCTGATGGAAATGTTTTAAAGCCAAAGTGGTGGCTTACAATTGATGGAGAAGTGTTAATCATGCAGATGTGTTAATTCATGGAGGAAGTTATTGGGGCAGAGTTGCAGGAACACCAATGTTGACTCCCTTCCTTGCTTAAAATTGAGAAGGTTGGGATGGTCCAGTGTGGTGGCCTAGAGGTGGAGCTCTTGCCTCACAATCAGGAGACTGTGAGTTCGATCCTAGGTAGAGGCTAATATTTGGAATAGCCTCATCTACTTGAGCAGGGGTTGGACTAGATGACCTCCAAGGTCCCTTCCAACTCTGTTATTCTATGTCTAAAACTCAACCTGGGATCTGCCACATCTTGGGTCAACCAGTTCATCCAATTCACATTCCCTCCTAACAACAAACCCCTTCCTGCAGAATCAAGCCAACCCAGTTTCCATGTCCTCATTTGGTTTGAGTTTCTCCTCATCTTCTCCATCTCACCTTCATCTGTTTCACTGGGGAATTTTTTGGGCTCCTGGGGAGGCAGACCATAATCCACTACAGGGGAAAATGAAATCAGAAATGCAATTAAAGGAGTATTCAGGGTCTCCACAGTTTCACCATCCTTTCAAACTGAGCTATTCCAACTTCATGATAGATATATTCATAGGGATTTTTTTCAATGTGTATATTTCATCAGCATGATTCAAAACTGTCTCCATAGCCTAGATATTCTCCAGAAATATGGACTTTCCTGCCGACATAGGAAGTTTTGGAATGAGATGTTTCAGCATGTTTGTACACTATTACTTTGGATAAGGCTGATCTAAACTATGGTGCAGCAATTACATCTGGTCTTGGCCACTTCAGAAATGTATGTATATTGTTATAAATTTCTGAAAAGGCGGAAAAAAATGGAGCAAATAAATACTCTACTATATAATCATTAATTTAACTTTTCTCCAAATCCTAAAAGGTTAATTCATCCAGGCCTTTCTCAAAGTCATCAGTTTATTTCATGACCAAGTTAGCACAGCCCAGTATGAATAAAGAAGTTTAAAACCTATATTGTAGTCACCTAACTGGTCTTCAGAATGTTGAAGAATATTGCCCTCTTCCACCCCATGGTCCCAGCAAAATCAGTTACAGAGGGAATTTTTGGCAGCAGGGAAAGAAATAACACACTATTCTCTATTGCAATTGCTGAGCTGTTCCATATTAATAGTTTCATAATAAACAAAGAATGAAGTGTACATAAAAGAAAATTCTTGGGACCCTTTCCAACTGGAGGTTCAAGAATACCAAAATGGATGTGCACCTGTTGAAGACCAAATTGACCTTTCAGATTTATCTCTTCTGACAAAGATCCACTATAAACTTGCTGTGTTGGGAAGTCTACTGAGGTACATTAAAGCAACATCAGGACCCATTCCACCTTCCTAGCTGAAAGGGGGCAGTTAATTGAGGAACATCTCTGCATTGTTTCATCTATGCCATTCTTCCTCAGCCTGGTTCTTTCTGGATGTGGCTCATGGGCAAGATAGCTGGGAAGAAGAAAATTGTAGCCCCACACAACAGTCAAGCACCAATAAGGAGAATTCTGCTCCAAGCCACGTGCTTGCCTAAGAACTCCAATGATCGCTCAGGAACATTGGAGAAATTGCAAAAGAAGAGTCGATGTGAAGGAGATTCATCTTGGGAGAAAGAAATTAATCAGCAGAATAATGCTGATTCTTCTTCTTCTTTTATGACTCTTCCATAAAATACATGAAATAGCACATACCATCTTCATAATCTGGCAACTGTATCCCTCCATCATAATGACTCTCGAAAGGAGGGGTGGGAGGTTCCTCCACCTTCTCTGCTGAGCAAAACAGAAACAGTAGTTGGATTCCAAAGAGGCAATAACTCTTTGGTTAAAGGTCCTGTGGAAGAAGCCTGTTTACATCCAGCTTGAATACTCCAATAAAAGTCCAGGATCATTTTCATTTATGAAAACTTACTTGTTTATTAAACACATAACATGATATTACTGAGGTGAAACTAACTCTGAATTTATCTAGCATCAGTTCACAATATTAAACAATGAATTTCCCAGTCCAAACCCCAGGATCCCACATAGAGTATATAAACAAGTTCTCTTATTATGGGAACCATCTGCCTTTCTCTTCACATCTGTTAATAAGTCCTTGAAAAGTTTCCACATTTCCACAAGCTTCTGTGGGACTGCAGGAGTTTTATTTCTCCGACTAACCCATTTGTAATAAACACCTCCCCTTTCTATAATGACAAGCTGAAATGAATGAGGCAGATAGCTGCCAATGTTTCACTCTTGACAAAGGCATTTCTAAGCAGACCATGCTTGTGGATCTTTTGCTACTACCAATTGTCCCAATATTAAGTATTTAGAAGAACAGAAACACGTGGCCAGCGGACATAAAATTGGAGACTATGAAATATCTTCTGCCTCTCTTGTAATTCAGAGCAGGAGGAAGTGGGTGAAAATTCCCATTACATGAAGTTGATCGGGAAGAGATTATCCAGTTAAAATTAGCTGTGCAACCCTGAGCAATCTGAGTGTGTGTGCATGCATGCACATCTTTGAGTCAGTGTGGACCCTTGGCAGCTGTGTGGACAAGTCCCTGCAATTTTCTTGGCAAGATTTCAGAAGTGCTTTGCCATTGCTTCCTTCCGAGGGCTGAAAGAGAGGGCTTGGCCCAGGGACACCCAGATAGCTTTGTGTCTAAAGCAGGACTAGAACTTTTGGACTCCCAGTTTCTAGCCTGGTGCCTTAATCACTGCACCAGCCTGGTTCTCTACTAATCAGAAGGTTGATTTTTTTTTAATGAAAAAAGATTGGCAGGCTTCAAGGTCACCATTTTCCATTTGTGTGTGAAACTAAATTCCTCCGTGTTTTAAGCTTTATGAACTTTCAATATGTACCTAGATAGGGAGGGAGAAACTCTCCCCAAGGAAGTGGAAAGAAATGGGCTAAATATCCCCCTAGAGTGGTGTTTCTGAACCTTGGCAACTTGGAGATGTATGGACTTCAATTCCCAGAACTGAAAAGAGTTGAATGCACACATCTTAAACTTCTCAAGGTTAAGAAGCATTGTCCTACAGCACCATGCCCACTACAACCCTCAGTGAGAAACAATAATAATGACAACAATTATTACAATACAACATATACATACAGCAATTATTACTATACAATACATTATAACCATTTGTTCTAGCCATCCACCAAAATGACCATCTATTGCTGATGGTGTAAAAACAATGGCTTTCCAAGGATTCAATAACTTTCCCAGCATTATCTTAAAACCCCAAGCCAAGAAAGGGTCATTTTATTCCTTGCAACCCTGTGAAATGTTTCATCATTAGGCTGAGAAGCATCTTCTTGCCTGCCTCTGGCTCTCAACCTCCTTGTATTTTTGAACCTTCTGGTGAAATGATAGGGAGGCCAAGGATACCTACTGGGTTTCTCCTCTGGTTCCAGCCTGGGTCTCTCAGGTTTCTTTTGCGATGGTTTTTTGGGTTTTTTCTCACGCCGGACATATTGATCTGTACAAAGAAAAAGGATTTCGTCAGAAGGAGACCGGGAGGTTGTAAGGGAGGAGATTCCATCCATGCATTTCACCCTATGTTCTATTTTCTCTTCTTAAAGCTATGGAAGGTCTCAGCAGTTTGTTTATTTATTTATTTGTATCCTGCCTGTATTGTTTTTATAAATAACTCAGGGTGGCAAATATATCCAAACACAGCTTCATTCCCCTATTTTGCCCACAACAACCACCTTGTGCAGTGCGTTGGGTTGAATGAGTATGACTGGCCTAATATCACCCAGCTCCCTTTCATGCCAAAGGTGGAACTAAAACTCAGAGTCTCCTATTATGATTAGCCCAAAGTCACTCAGGTGGCTTTCATGGCTAAGGCAGGACTTGAACTCACAGGGTCTTGCTTTCTAGCCTGGTGCCTTAAACACTAGACCAAATTGGCTCTCTCAGTTAACGAGAGGGACTGTTACTTTGGATAAAATGAACCAGTGGTCTGTCAGATCTGTTGTCATAATCTGGGAGTCCTGCAGACACAGAAGCCTCAGCATGCAGAACCTTCCACAATGCTATTGGAGGTGGGAACTCCAGGAGCCAAATCTCACATGACTTGAGGGAATCCAGATTGAGGAAGGTAGTCATATCCAATAAGACAGACTTTCATGGCCAAGTTGGCCGGAGAGTTTTTGAGGTCTCATTGCAACAGATTTAAGGCCAAATGTCATGCTCACACAACATGGGAAAGTCAAGAAAGTCATTTTGGGCTCAGAACAATCACAAATATATCTATCAAAGCAGCAGAGAATCTGATTTTTTCCAAATTTATCAATTGCAACTATTCAGAGTCACTTGAACTATGAGATGGGCAGAAAATAAAATGAAGAAAATTATTGTGAATCCATTCTGGAGCCTAACACAACTCTAACAAATCCTGCTTGCAACTGCATCTCTCCACTTAATCCCTTTTTGACAACAGTTCTGGGAATAGCCCTCGTTTGTCCACTCAGTCCTGGAGGGGCAGGGGAATGTGCAAGCCAAAACTGCAGGAAGTGCCAGTGAGAAGTGAGCATATATAAAGTCATAATTGTTTAACTTTATAGGATATAAATGGAGAGACGGAAGCATTCAGACTCCTGGGCCTCCTAATTCAGTGGTTGGCATAAAATAAGGAAATAAGAAAATACTTTTTCACCCAAGCCTGATGCTTCACTTAACATTTGTTTTGGCAAAATCTCTCTCATCAGTCAAACATTATTCAGAAAATGCTGGGCATTTTCCATTCATGTAGGCCAAACTAAAGCTAGAGCACATGAGGCGGAAATGAAGGGTAAATCTGACGGATGAGGGGGAGGGAAAATTTCTGTGGTGCTGAACTGCTCCCTTCTAAGACAGATTCAAGGCACTGCAACATGGTAAGCATGATGATGATGATGATGATGATGATGATGATGACAACGTCAACTACAACTACTACTACGCATCCATAATTTCTGCCATGTACAAAAGGAACTGACTTTCACAGCAGAGATCAAGCCAGGATCCGCCTTTATTTCCAATTCACAGCATGGAGCTAAAATAGTTTTTCTGCAGCTCTTAAATGTTCTCTTTCTCTTTTTCTCAAATGCCTAAATGGGAGCAATAGTTCTTTTCTGAAATGTGGCTTGGAGAATTTTCAACACATGTGTCTGCAGGGCAGAAACAGGCAACATAATGCTCCCTTTATGCTTTCAAAAATTCAGTGCAACTGGGCCATAGCCCCTCTCTTGGTAGAAGATGATCCCAAAAGGCAGTCTAGATTCTCACTGGGGTTGACATGAAAGAGCAGGAAAGAACAGACCAGCTTGGTCCAGGGAGGTGAGGCACAGACCATAAGGAGAATATAGGTAGCCCTTGGCTTAGAGCCATTAATTTAGCAACTGTTCAAATTTAGCACAGCACTGGAAAAGGTTATTTACAACAGGTCCTTGCACTTACGAATGTTACAACTTCTCCATGGTCACATGATCCAAACTCAGGTCCTTGGAAACAGCAAGTATTTATGACTTTGCAGCATCCAGAATAATGTGACTGCTGTTTGTAACATTCTCAGTCAATGGGAGAAGTTGGCTTCACTTAACAATTGTGTGATTCCCTTAACAACTATGTTGATTCGCTTAACTGTTGCAAAAATGGTGATAAAATTGGGTGCGACTCATTTAAGAACTGCCTTGGTTAGCAATGGAAATTCTGGTCCTAATTGCCATTGTAAGTTGAGGACTACCTGGAGATAGTATAGAGCAATGTTTCTCAATTTTGGCAACCTGAAGACAAGTGGGGTAGTTTAGGCAATTCTGGGAGTTGAAGTCTACATGTCTTAAAGTTGCTAAGGTTGAGAAATATTGATGTAGAGCAAAGTTCAAAATATAGAAAACACAGGTGTGTGACCTGCAAAAACAATCAGAACTGGCACCACTTTTGGGGGCGCCATTAGATCACCCAAAGATTGTCCTATAGCATAAACCATTGAAGTGGCAGAGCCTGGCAGACCCAGTTGTAAAAATGTCTGGCCATGCCAACCCAAAAAGGCAACTTCTGATGAATCTATCAGAGGGTCACTTCCTACCCTTAACCCTGAAAGATTTCAAAATCCCATGTAACCAAGCAATGAGATATTAGTTCTGTGGTCTAGTCCGCATCTCTAGAAGCAGGGAGATGTCTACAGAGATTCTCAGTCATCCATGGTTGTCCCAAAGATGCTTTTTCAAGAGGCAACTGACTGAACTGAACCAAAGAAGCTTCTCAGATGAGAAGCAAAATGTCTTCTAGGAAAAAACAAAGAAAGTCCAGTTGCGCTTGAAAAAATACCTTTGGGATAGAAGCAGGGAGGACCCTACAGTACTAATTCAGCATAGCCTCCACCAGTATCAACCAATGCTTAGCTCCCAAATTCCTAGCCACCATAGATAATATAGTTAGGATTCTGAGAGCTGGAAATCCCCACATCCGGAAAGCACTAGATGGGGAAGGCTGACATGACCGATCAGCAGGACCTCTCCAGGATATGATGAATATTTTCCACTCATGGAGATGATGGAAATTAAACCCAAGATCAGTTACATAAACGTATTTGTTCCACCACTCAGCTAAAAAGCTAAACACTAAGTCAAGTCTCTTCATAAATACATTCCAGATCAAAGCCCAGTATGGATTCTGCAAACTTGAATTAATTTTGCTGGTCCCAGGGCATAGAAACAGGTTTTAAGGATCCTCTGACCATGGCCATGTCATTAATCTTTCACGTTATCTTTTTTTTGTCACCAGATGTTTCTACACAACCCAAGAAGCTTTGTGGCTAGGAAGATTAGGTAACCTTTTCCCATAGAAAATAATTAAGAGCATAGGAATCTCTGTCCAGAGGTCCTGAATTGCATTTAACAACATCAGATCATGCCTGAATCAAAGAAACACAAAGAATCTGCTATCCTGAAGCTTTGCTACTCCTCCACCCACAACAGGAGATGGCTACTCCCCAAGAAAGAGTATGATTCTTGGATAGGGTAAGTGAACAAGAATGGCACCGTACAATCCTCGTAGTCCTCACGCTCAATCTGTTCATTGTAGTCCAGTGTTGGTGGCTCTTGTTCTACAGGAAATTCTAGAGAACAAACAAAAAGCACAGACATTTCCTGAGTTTGCGGGTTGTGTCCAAGACACAAAGTCTTGGTTAGCTAGAAAGAGTTAGAAAGGCAATGGTTAGTTAGAAAGAGAATAGGTTTGATTCACTTCAACCATCCTTTCCCAAGCCGGTGTTCTCCTTCCAGGATAGATCTCAATTTCTTCCATTCTCTGCCAGGAAGGACAAAATGTGTAAGACATGTAGGACAAAATGTGTAAGATGTATTAAGTGGTCTACCATGCAGTAATACATCAGAGGTCTTATATTTTTAGCTCTTTCAAAAACTCTGCAAATGTTTTGACTACAACTTGCCAAGACACTTCAATAGCAAGTTGAATATAGAAAGCTTAACTTCTCCCCAAAGCATTAGAGCACAGAAAGGCAGGAAAGGAAGATATAAATCACAATTTCAGTAAAATAACAACTATTCCCATGCATCACATTGACTATAGCAGATAGTTGTGGCTGGCCCTTAAATTCTTCCGAAAACTTGTTTCCAGCATGCTGGCTTTTTGCACAGATGACACCAGTTACATTCCACTCTGTAAGAAAATTTATAGTGAAGGTCTGCCCAGACGTAGAACCAGGAATGCATCTATGCAGAATTTTCTAGGATAGCTAAGAAAACTGATCTAATCCCACAGTGGGATTCAGGAGTGCTTTTAGGCATATACCAGTCTCTGGGTGGCTTTAGAGGACAAGCTAAGAAATTTGTTTGCAAGAGGAGTGAAGAAATATCTTCCTTAATCCACTTTGTGGTCTTGACAGCATGATTTAAAGATAGCAAGAGGTCTGAGAAACAGCCAACTTTGGGAATTAATGTCTGTTTACCTGGCTGACTTTCCGGATCTTTCTCATTGGTGGGCGTCTCCTGTGGCTCCGTTGGAGATTCATAGACATCAGCTGAACAAAAAGCACAATCAAATTAGCAGGGATGTAAATACATATATACCTCCATAAAGGATTCATTGTAGGGTGGGATTCTACCTGGTCAGACTGGTTCCATAGAACCAGTTGTTATGATTGTGCCCAGTTTGGAGAACTGGCAAATTGTGTCACTGGCTGGCCTCACCCCTCCCCTCCCCACCCCACCCACTCCTTACCTGGCATGTGCGCCATCAAACTTGCCTGCTAAATTGCTATTTTTCCTTCCCCCCCGCCCCTGACCATCAGCTGTTCTGCTCTGCCAGGAGAATTAGATTACTTAGAAAGCAGGAAATCATTGGATTTCTTGTTTTCTAGCTAATCTAAAAGCAGAGCTGAACCTTCCTTAGGACTGAAGCTTCTATGTTTCAGTGCACTCAGGCAGCAGATTGCAGAAAGGTAGATCTCTAAGTGAATCTGTGATTCTGTGAGCAACTCAATCTGCCTGTCTGCTTTGCTTGATTTTGGGTAAAAGTTGCTCTTTTTTAAATAAAAAATTAAATATTTACATATTTACAATTTTTACATACAAGCCACGCCCACCCAGTCACTTGATCACCAAGCCACTGAATTCACCCAGGGCACTTTGTTGTTAAATCAAGTGCTTCAATGTTAATGCATCTTAATGCTTGAAAACCCATTAAAATAGGAAGATCACCTTCTGGATTAAATTTAATCCTTTCCTAGCATGGTCCTTTTCTGTAACCCTTCAGCACATATGTCAATCCCCAATATTGTTGCTACCTTGAATTTAATCATCCTTGCCCTGTTCATATGAAATCTCTTTGGTTCCTTTCTATCAGGATGACTCTACATTATGCAACTTCCTGATGAATATAATATTTTATCCTAATCAACTGTATTCATGTCTTTTCTCTTTTTCTAAATGTTAAACTGCTTTCCCACGTAGTCTTAGCAGCCTATAAATACCTGTTGAGATGTTATTACTATACCCCACAATCTGATTATACTTACTGTGAAACCTAGATGGATCTTGTTTCTCAATGACCTTCTCAGGATAGAGAGCTGCAGGATAAAACAGAGGGAGTCGAAGACGAACATTCTTTCTTCACATCACACTAAACTTTGATTGTTTGGATGTTTTTTATGTGATCAACTAACCCAGAAGCAAATATATTGCTTTAAGGTTTAGTGTGATGTGTGATACAAGGCAATGAGTGTGTTTGCACAAAAAACTATACCCAGATTTTTTTAAAAAAACTATGGGCTCCTGAACAAGCTAGGAACCATTCAGGGTCAATCTTGTAGATCCACAAAATAACGATGGGTTGTTTGTCCAGTTTGTGTCTGAGGATGACAATTTTTCAGTGCAACATTCCTGTAGCATCCATCAGCTCAGTTTGGAAGTAGAAGAGTGAAGATAGAAAATTGCTAGTAGGGAACAATTAAATGATCAAACAGTAGAAGGAAATTAAAAGGAAAATTAAGCAAAAGAGAGTAAGGTCTGGGTAGATCTTATGTATGTGACTAAACTGGCATGTCTCATGATAAATTATGTCTTAATGCTTTGGAAATAGTTCTGAAACAGAATAAGAGGATTGGAAGGGACCTTGGAGATATTCTAGTCCAATTCCCTGCTCAAGCGGGAGATTCTATACCATTCCGGGAACGTGGCCGTCCAGTCTCTTCTTAAAAGCCTCCAGTGATGGAGCACCCACGATTTCTGAAGGCAAGCCATTCCATTGGTTAATTGTTCTCACTGTTAGGAACTTTTTACTTAGTTCTAGCCTGTCTCTGGGATTTAAACAACTTAGAGGAAAGACAGTACTGCAAAGCTCCAAGTGGTGCTTTTTGGCTATGTGTGGGAGAAAGTTTCTGCCTGGGCCTTTGCTTCCAAAATGCCTGATTACTACTTTCAACTAATGCCCTTCTCTAGGGATTCCCAACAAGCATCTTTGCCCCAGGGTGCTTTCTCTTAAGAAGTAAGAGAGGGATGAGAAAGTAGCTTAAAAAAAACAGGAAACAGAGTAAGTCTGGGTTCTCACATCAAGTCTTGACATTATGTGCAGGCTAAGTCACTGTGTGGTGAAGACATGAGGTTGTATGATGGGTGAGAAATGCCCTGAACTTACATTCGCCCCCTTCTTCGTTGACTCGGGAGAAGTCGTCTTCTCGTCCGTAGGGTAAGAGATCTGGCAATCCATAGCCATCTTCGACTCCTGTTGTGGGTGGGATCAGTGGTCTTTCTGGAAAGTGATACCTCTCTTCTTCTGGTGGAACTGGAGGAGAAGGCCTTTCCACCTTCTTTCCTGCTGCTGGTTTCTTGGTGGCCTTGGGACGCTTCTCCTTAGGTTTCTTGGTGGCTTTGGGACGCTTCTCCTTTGGCTTTTTGGTGGGTTTGGGAGGCTTCTCCTTTCTTGGAGGCTTTGGCTTTGGGGAGCTCTTGGGTGGTTTTTCCTTTGGCTTTTTTGTAGGTTTAGGTGGCTTCTCCTTCTTCCCTTTCTTGGGCTTCTCCGTCACTCTCTCCTGTGTTACTTTGGGAGAGAGAAGATGGTTAGTATCTCCTTTTCTAAATAGAATCCAAGAGTTGGAGAATTTATTACACCGGACACATTTAATTCTTATTCAAACAAATTTTTGGTTATAGACAATAGGCTTACTTGCGAGTCACTTTTTTTTTTTACCCAAACATGCCATAAAACACAACTAGAATCACTATCAAGATAAAGATATGATTACCACCATTGCTCTTTTCTCTCTGATTCAGTAACAAATGGATGACACCATACTTTGGACACAAAACTAGATTTCATTCAGGATTCCTAATGGAATTTTTCCAAAACTTTTCTTTCTGTAAAATCCTGAATATGAAGGCCTGAAGTAGATCTGGGCAAAGGGTCTGGCTCTATAAATCAGAGGCTCTCCCTGGACAGACTGCTAGTGATTAATGTCAACTCATAACCCCAAGAGAGCAACAGCCTCATTCCTAAATTCTGAACAGCGGCATTTCTACAGCCTGTGGGAAAAACAGTCCAGGCCAATTTGAGCAACCAGCTGTAAAACAACCTGGCATTTACAGTATACCAAGAGCTTGCCTTGCTGGCAGGCTGTCTCAGAAACCATCATTCATGAGAATTATGAATCCACTGACATCTCTCTCTCTCTCTTCTTCTGCCATGAGATACCAAGTCCATGACTAAAGCAAGGTCAGGAATTTGCAGAAGATAAGAACAGATCTAGCTGTCTAAACTCTTCCTGCTGTATCCAAGCCACAAAGGAAATCAAGGTTGGAAACTCTACTGCAGCCAGAACCAAACCACAATGACAAATGGCAAAGAACAGCAAGGAGTTCTTTGGGGCCATTGTGCCTAAGAAAAGATATGCTTCCAATTCCAACTGAGTCATGTCCCAGCTGGGATATCCTTCCATCCAGATCCACTGCATGGGCAAGTCCTACGTGCCAAGCTAAGCAACTGCAGTTGAGATTCATCAGCAATGATCCACATGGGACTCCCTAGCTAGTTCATGGCTCCTAAAAGGGCAGAAAACAACAATGTTAAGAAAGGCAAGCAAAACTATCAGCTAAGAGGGATTAAACAGATGGGGAAAAATTAGGAATGCAGTAAAATCACTTGAATGCATCATCAGAAGGATGTTTCCAAGAACTGATTGGGTTTTCTCCAGCTGATTAGAGCTTTTGAGAAGCCTCACTAGAAAGCTTCGCACACATTCCCAACTAAGATAATTTCTGTGTAATGAGGAAAACTGTGCAGACTGTCGTATCAGCGACCTAGTACAAGCTCCTGTTCTGTTAACGGAAAGCATCGTTGGCCTGTCAATGCTCTTACTAAAGACCTCTGCCCCCTTTGTTTGGCAGGCAAACTTTGACAGACCCTGAAAAACAACAGAGCGTTTTCCAACGCTTGAAGAAAGTACAGGAAAACCAGTTCAAGTGAAATGTCTTTTCAAAGGAAGAAGCCTTTTGAGCTCTTGTCTTGCCTTCATGGAAAACAGGGGGAAAAGATTTCATCCTGACTTAGGTGCAGGTAGTCCTTGACCACAACTGAGCCCAAAATTCCAGTTGCTAAGTGAGACGTGGTTAGGTGAGTCTCGCCACATTTTGTGATCTTTCCCACCAGTTGTTAGGTGACTCATGCAGTTGTTAAGTTAGTAACCTGGTTGTTAAGTAAATCTGGCTTCCCCATTGATTTTGCTTGTCAGAAGGTCATAAGAGGAGAATCACATGACCCCTGGACACTGCAACCGTCATAAATATAAACCAATTGCTAAATGTCTGAATTTCGATCATGTGTCTCTGGGGATGCTGCAGCGGTGGAGTGAAAACCGGTCATTGCTTTTTCCAGTGACTTTGTAACTGTGAACAGTCACTAAATGAATGGCTGCAAGTCAAGGACTGCCTGTGTATGATAGAACTCACTGTATGCTTGGTTCCACCTAACTCTTGATGTCTCATCTCAGGCCTCCAGAGCATCGTTCACCCTTCGCCTAAAGTGAAACCAAAGATCTCCCACTAAGAAGCTGCATGATTGGGTATTATGGGGGGACGGGGACCCAACCATCAGTCGCACTTTATGATCTGGAACTGATCAATACTATCCAACATTCAGCCTCGTGGGGTTGCCATGCAGATAACATCAGAAAGACGGGGTAGAAACCACATTGATTTTCTTTTTCTTTTAAAGCAGGAGGAAAAATTATATACAGGTAGTCCTCAGCTTATGACCACAATTGGGCCCACAATTTATGTTGCTAGGTGAGAAATTTGTTAAGTGAGTTTTGCCCTACTTTACAACTTTTCTCGCCATGTTTGTTAAGTGAATCACTACAATTGTTAAAATTAGTAACTTGGCTGTTAAGTGAATCTGGCTTCCCCATTGAGCAACATCAGGTGGTCATAAGAGGGGATCGCATGACCTTGGGACACAACAATGGTCATAAATGTGGGTCAGGTGTCAAGCATCTGAATGTGAATCATGTGACCATGGGAATACTGCAATGGCCATAAGCGTGAAAAATGGCCGTAAGTCACTTTTTCAGTACCATTGTAACTTTGAACGGTCATTAAATGAACTTTGTAAATCGAGGACTACCTGTGCACTGTCTTGTGCCTCTTGGAAGAATGGAAGGTGAAATGGGTTATAAATGAATATAATGTACTACTTATGTTTCATAATATAATGCAATAAAACAAATTTTTGGAGAATGCGTAATAGCATAGGCTTTTATCTAGCTACTGGGAACAGGGCTATCATTCTCGCAGGATTGCTTCCATTGGAGAAGAAATGGAATTGTGAGCCTGATTCCATAAAACAAAATTTAACTAGCTGAAATACATTCATCAACTTTCCTTGTCAAGGGCTTCTGCTCCTATTCTAACTGCAGGCAAGAACTTGCAAGAACTTGCATCAAAGGCATATAATCAGCCAGTTTAATGAGGATCAAATAAGTAGTGCAGTGGTTTCTTGCAGATAAAGATGCAAGAATTAAATCTATACCTCACAACTACACACAGGGAGATCTACCATGGGGTAGAGACTACCCTTGGGGGCACATGTCTAGCTAAAACATTTCCTCCCACAAAGTTGCAGGTGCACAATATACTGTAGTAACTCTATTGAAACAAAGCTGATCTAAGTTCAATCAATGGAAGCTGCCCGAAGACCTAACCAATCTTGCTAAATCATGGTTTTACCAAGTTGTACAACAAGGCACATACAACTGTATGCTATAAAACACTGTTTACAATGTATATTAGCTAGGTTCCTAATCCATGGGAATCCAAAACCAGTCCAGATATGTCCCATGACGAATGTGGGTTGACACCCCTGCTTTAATGCATCTACAATTCTACACATTTCTTTAAGTACCAATAAGAGAACAGAAGTGAAGCTTTTTCTGTCCTCAGTTGTGAATGGCATGCCATGTGGTGAAGAATTAATAAATGCCAGTATAGTACTAGTCATAATATGACATTATATGAGTAATAGGCAATAACTATAAAAGGAGTGGCTGCTGTTCCATAAATATATGCTTTAAAAAGAAAGGAAAGATCACGTATTGGCATGAACCACCTTCCTCTTGGGACACTTCTTGCTCGTTTCTAGGCTTTTAAGGGACGGTTGAAAAAGGATTTGAACAGGAACGGACGAATTGAGTAGACACAACAGGACAGTTAACTGCATAGTTTGCTGATTTCTCAGCCCAAGTGCGTGAAGTGGAAAGGAAAAAAAATTGCATCCACAATCATTCCGTGCACAATTCCTGCTTTTTTCCTAATAATAAACAGTAACAATTTTATAATAGCCTCAGTTTTCATGGACTTCCTTAGATGAGTTGCTAACTCCAATTGGCAGCTAAGGACAGCAAATGAACCCCAACAGGAAGAATGGACAATGACTTCACTCCTAAAATTAGAAGTATGCTTTTTGCTTTCCAATAACTCCATTTTCTTTCCATAGGTAGATCAGCCAACAGAGTACAATGGACTCTTATTCTTGAGAGCTTCTAGCACAGTAAGTCTTTAGGATGCAAGAAAGCTACTCTGCTGTATCCACAGATGTTACAAAGGCTGATGTTCCTTGAGGGACCAACCTCTGCAACAAAATGTTGAGTCAAAAGATCCTGAGCCTAAAACCTTCTAGCAACGAATGTAGGTTGATTTATTGGCATTTATTCATTTCAGGTCTCCTTATCCTGCCTTCATTTGGGGAACTCAACAGGACACCTAAGGGGGTCTGCCTCATTTTAGGCAATAGGTTGGATTGAGACATGGTAATCAGTTCAGAGTTCACAAGAGTCAAGGGTTTCCCAGATTGTAATCCAGCATCTTCAACATTAGCCATATAAACTTCCAGAAGCCCTGAGTTCCTAGAGAACAGTAACATAGCACTCCTGGACTGGGATGAAGAAGAAATGAAACACAAAACTTTCCTAATAAATATTAGCACATCCAACTTTCAGCATCTTCCAGACTTGGTAAATGACCTTTGATTATCTAAATTTACTGTCACTGCATTTAGGGCAAGAGGAGGCTGTGACTCAAAACATTATTTACTTTCACCAATAGATACCATTGTGGAAAGTTTAAAATTCTTCATGCTACAACATTTAAATGTGGTTTGCTGACTATGAGAGAATTGGCCGGGTTCGCATATCATGAAAAACAGAGGAAATAGGGACATGTTGGATCTCCAGATGTTGTTGGATTACAACTCCAACTATCCCAGCCAGCAAAAAGAGATGCGGTGTGTTGCATTTCACAGCCTCTAGAAGGCCACAAGTTTTCCATGCCTGGATTAAAATGACAACATTGAACTCAGAAGCTGCAGTGGCTGGATTCCCACAGCACATCAAGATCAAAATAGATCATGACTTTATAAAGGAACCTGTTGTTAAGTCAAGCCACTGATCAACTGTATTTAATCAAAGGTTACCATGTCCAGGGGGCAAAAATTAGATAGCAGCAAGATAACTCTGTGTTGCCATTAGAGTTTTGCAGCCCAGATAGATGGGAAGCCTAATCTAATCCACAGTATTCTGAATAGCAGTTACCTCCAGGCTGCAAGCCTTTCCTATCATTTCTCCATCCAAATGAAAGTTTAGGATTTACTTCAGGTAGAACAAGCAACATTTCTCAAACTTGTTTAAGTTTAAGATCAGAATTCCAGCTGGGGAATCCTAAGAGTTGAAGTCCACACATCTTAAAGTTGTCACGGTTGAGAAATACTGATTGTAGAGGAGATCTTTGACCAATGAGATAGAATGACATATCAGGTCTCACCTTCTTCGACCTCCTCCGTTGGAGCTTTCTCTCTTTCTGCAGGATTCAGGTTTCCTTGATTTTTGGGAAGCTCCTCACCAACAGCCACCTTTCCTGTCTCTGGCCCTTCCAAGTCTTCATCCCCCTCTCCCAGGAAGCCTTTCAGGAATTCCTCAATTTCGTGGTCGGTCAACACAGACTGGGGGTCTACAGGACTGGGGTTCCAGAGACACAAGATTCCCACCAGCAGGGAAAGAAGCAATCGGGGCCCATCACCTTTCATCATGCAGATGCTGGAAGAAGGGAAGGCAGATACGTCCAGGTGATCTGCTACCTGTTTTTCTGGTATAGGATCTGTCTTCTCTGGAAGGCGCAGCTGAGTGGGGAAGAGGCTAGAGACAGAGGGAAGGAGAAATACGGTCGAGGACTTGACTTGCGGAAGGGAACGAGAAGGAGGACGAGTCGATCACAGCTCGTCGGAAGAACGAGGGAAGTCGGCGTTGGTAGAAGCCAGGCAGGGTCTCCTCTTCCCAGCTCGCCCTGGAGCTCCAACCGAGCAGCTTCGAGGCTTCCGAGCTCAGCGGGCGACGGCAGGACTTGCCAGCAGTTCGCGCCGTCCCATCTCGCGCGGCTGCTTCTAACGGAGCCCAGCAGCGGCTGCCAAGTAGCGAAGGCAAGCCGGAGCGCCCAGAAGGGACAGCGCCGCTTCCCCGCAGCCTCCTTTCGCCCCGGGAGCCTTCAGTCCTGCCGCAGGGAGATCGGAGCGGGGGACGCCGCCGTTCCGCGCAGATGCTCTTGCCTTGCCCCGAGCTCGCTCCGTCTCCTCTTGGCAACCAAATGCGGGGAGGGGACCAAGGGCCTGGAGACGGAGGGAGGGAGGGAGGGAGTTGCTGGCAGCCGCGGGGAACCTCCGGATCCAGTTCGAGCAAACGTCGCTGCTGGTCTCCTCCCCTAACTGCGGTCGGTCCCCCTCCCCGATCCGATCCCAGCGAAGGGTGGGTCTCGGTCGGCTTCGCCACGTGGAGCCAGCGCAGTTCAACTCCGCTCCTCCGTTGCTGGCTGGGGCTCCGCGGTGGGTTTCCTCCTCTGCCCCCCAAAGACGCCTTGCGGGAGGGAGGGGGTGGCTTAATTCGCGGGCGGGGAGGAGGGGTGTGTGCCCGATGCCGGACCTTTCTTGTGGGAGAAGGGGGGGGGGGGGAGCGCTGGGATTATGTGATCGGGAGCGCCACATAAATGAAGGATGGAGGCAGGCAGAGACAAGCAAGCATCTGCCTGCCCAGCCTCAGTTTTAGCCCCATGGATGGAACCAACCTGAAGCTTCTAAGGAGCCCTGGTGATAGAATCGGCGGTGGGGGAAAAGCATTAAGAAACTGCCATGGATCAATTCAGGACAGATGTCAGCCCAGCGGATAATATGCCCACGAACTACTCTTTAGTTTCGCCAATATTGTTCGCTCAAATTGGCAGCAATCCTGCTCCCTACAGAGGTCTTCTTTATCTGTTTGCTCAGGCTCCTCTCTCTAGAGGCCTCCTTCACCTCTTTTCACTGGCTATAGGCAGTCCTTGACTTACAACCACAATTGGGGACAGAATTTCTGCTGCTAAGCAGAGTGCCTGATTTCATCACCTTTTTGCTATGGTTGTTAAACAATCGCTATTGTTATTAAGTGAATTGCAGGGTTGTTAAGCAAATCTGGCTTCCCCCATTCCCTTTGCTTGTTGGAAGCCAGCTGGGAAGGTCACAAATGGGGACCAGAGAAGCCTGGGATGCTGCAACTCTCCTAAATGCAAGCTGGTTGCCAAGTGCCCACATTCAGATCACATGACTAAGGGGACGCTACAAGGGTTGTAAGTGTGGGGGCCAATTGTAAGTCACTTTTTCGGTGCTGTTGAAGCTTTGAACAGTCACGAAATGAATGGCTGCAAGCCAAGGGCTGCCTGAACTGGTCATCGAATCCAGGAATCTTTCTGGGTCAAAGAGGAGCTTTGCCACTGAGTGGTGAAAACTTTGGGATTCAGATGTTGCTGCAACTTCTCAGGACCAGAATAGCATATGCCTTTCAACGGAGCATCTGGACCACAGGATGCTCTTTCATGCTTCCCCAGAGTCCTATTGACGGTTTCAGATCCATTGCACTGAAGTATTGTGCAACATGGGCTGTCTCCTTCCAAGAAGAAACTGGCCACAACGCTGTAATTGTGGCGTCCTCGGTGCTATACTTTTCCATCCCACATTTGCAAAGACTTTGCTTTGCTGTGCATTTTTGCCACACACAGACCACAGGCTGCCATTTTTATTACACACAGCCTCATTAATGGCATCAACCTCCAAAGAGTGGGCGACTCATGCTTAAGGTTCCATGACTTGCTATTGCAGGGCAGTAGCTGCTGCCAGGAGCAGTGGCAGATTAAGGCTCACTGGTGCCCTAAGCACTGAGAAATCTTGGTGTCCCCACTCCTTTGTACATACCGTGCAAACGAAGCCATATTCTCAACTTTGTGGTGCCCCCTTTGGGCCTGGTGCCCGAAGCACATGTTTAGTCTGCTTAATGGTTAATATACCACTGGCCAGGAAAACATCACTAAATGGATTCTTGAACATGAAAAGAAAAAGTTCCAATGTGGTTAACAGACCATGGCCAGAAATGATCTGACTGACCCTAAAACTGCATCTTGTGTTGTAGCAGAAAGGCAACATCACTGCAATTATTTGCCAGTGATTTTTCTCCGTAAGGTATCCTTCAACCATTGTCCCTTGTTGGGCTTCCAAGGTCATGTTGCAAGAGAAAGCTGCTCTGAGAAGCAGATAGACCTCGGGAGTTGTCTGAGGAATTCTGGGAGTTGAAGTCCACAAGTCTTCAAGTTGCCAAGGTTGGAGACCCCTGGACTAGAACAGTGGTCGCCAACCAGTGGGCCAGGGATCACTGGTGGTCCACAAGAAAATTTTGGTGGTCTGCAGAGAAATGTCCCCCTCAAAGCAATTAATCCAGACTGCGCAGGAACACAAGGCTGCGCCACCCAAACGGCCTGTGGGAACACAAGGCTTGCATCGCTTGCATTGTGAACAACACATAGGGGAAGGGAGAAAGGGCCCCACTCACCCCACATGCCTGGCCTGGCCACCAGCCTGCTTCTTTACGCTTCTTTCTTCTGCTTTTGGCTGCACGCAAGGAAAGCAGCAAAAGCCTTTCTTTCTCTCCCCCAAACTCCACCAGAAATGAATCTTTGGGACTCTGCAAGGCCTCCTGCTCCAAGAGGCTGCGCCAGTGCGACAAGCCTCACAAAGACTCATTTCTGGTGGAGTTTGGGGGAGAGAAAGAAAGACTTCTGCTGCTTCTGCTGCTTTCCTTGCATGAAGCCAAAAGTTTCTCTCTCTCTTCCTCTCCCCCTGAGAACGGAGCTGGAGATGGTATCCTGCGATTCCAAATAAAGAATGATCAATCAGTAGGAAAACGGGGTGGGGAATTTTCCTGCAGACTTTTGGGGGGATTTTCCCAGAGTCTGTGGTCTGCGGGATTTAAAATTATGAGTTCGGTGGTCCCTGAGGTCCAAAAAGTTGTCGACCCCTGGATTAGAAGACCTCCAAGGTCCCATCCAACTCTATTATTTTGTTCTGTTATTCTGCTGAAGAACAAAAAGCAGAGTAAAGCAGAGTAGGGGCTAGAGAGACTAATCATCCAACATGTAGGCTTATATCTTAGATTGAACTACAATTTACTTTAACTCCACTTGTTGAACAAGCTACAGTGGTCACTTTCAAGTAGTAGGCTGTGCCATTAATTATTATTTACATTCATCACAGCTTCATACTGCACGTTAAACAAGTCTCATTGGGATTAATAAGTTATATGAAATAATGGACTACTTGTTCAGGTTCCTTGTTTTCAGATTCAAGGAAAGGCTTCAGAATGAAAGTCTATGGAGATTCTCAGTCATCCAGGTCAGGGTTGTCCCAAAGATGCTTTTTTCAAAAGGCAACTGAAGAGTTCTGAACTGAAGTTCTGAACCAAAGAAGCCTCTTAAATGAGAAGCTAAGCGTCTTCAAGGAAAAACAAAGTAAGTCCAGTTGTCTTTTGAAAAATACATCTTTGAGATCAATCCTGACCTGGATAGCTGAAAAAAGCATCTTTGGGATTTCAGAATGAAATATCAACAAAAAGAGACAGGGAATTGAAGGCTATGAAATGTAGAAACAGAAGTCAGAAATTACAATGAGAAGAGGAAAAATCTATTGGATATTGAGATGACTTTTGGACTTTTGACAGTTTATAATCTCTTTCATCATAGAAGAAATAATGATTTTATTGCTTTTTAAAACTCACACAAACAAGTTAACTTGAATAGAAACAAAGAATAGGAATACTGTCCAGTGTTTTGCATTTATGAATGACATTTGGATCCATTTATGGTGACATCATGAAAGTCATTAAATGAATCCAGCCGCAGTTATAAATTGGAAGGAAATACAAAGGCATGACATCATTAATCATGGGATGCAATGCCTTTTATCTGCGTAGGCATTGGTCCACCAAGCATTTTTTTGTGCAGTGGTAATCTCCTTGGATCACTGACATAATTTCTTGTGACTTTTACTAATCTTTTGCAAATGGTGCTGGACATGGTTTTGTTTATTTACAAAACTTTAGTGCCATAGTACTGACAAGAATATCCTGCTAGATTAGGTTTAAGATCCACTGCATCTAGCATCAGGCTTCACCAGAGGCCTGTTGCATGAATCTGAAGATAACAGCAATGGCTTTCCCTCACAGTGGAACCACCACAGAATAGTAATAGACTTATATACCACTTCACAGTGCTTTATAGCACTCTCTAAGTGGTTTACAGAGTCAGCATGTTTCTCTCAACAATCTGGCTCCTCATTTTTATCCATCTCGGAAGGATGGAAGGCTGAATCAACTTTGAGCTGATGAGAATTGAACTGCCAAAATGCTGGCAGTCGGCAGAATTAGCCTGCAATACCGCATTCTAACCTTGCACTACCATGGCTCTAAAATAAATAATATATTTTACCACCTTAGGCAGAAATTATCTCAATTCTCTCACTTTCTCATTCTCTCATAATAAAACCAACAATCAAACTAAATAGCAACAATCCAATTTTTCAGGATAATCTTCTCAGATAGTCAACTCATATTGCTTTGTGGCAGGATAACCAACATATAGCCAGTTCTGTGAACAACCATGAATGGACCAATTTTCCTGCTTAAAAGCCTCAAAACATTAAAACTCAGACCTTCCTTTGCCTTCCTTCTTCTGTTGGGATATTTCCTTTTAAGCTTCAAACTAGAAGGCATGGAGAATAGATGATAGATAGACAGACAGACAGACAGACAGACAGACAGACAGACTGTCTCTATATAAAATTAGCTGCCATTGAATAGGGTTCAGTTCATGCTGACTGCATGGAAAATGTTGAAAATTTTATCTCAGTAATAACCTGTAGCTCTTCCAAGGACATTTCATAATCTCTTTGATCACATCCATCTATTTTATCCATTGTCTTCCCCATCTCCTATTTCCTTCCACCATGCTAAAAGGCTTGCCCATTAATCTTTTCACAACACAGGTCCAATATATAAACATTTCTGGCTGAAAAAATGTTCCTCGGTGTTTTGGTTTTAAAAAATGATTAAATGAAGCTGTCCCACACAACAAATAGTTGGCTCTGAATGAAAACACTCCTTCAACCTGCTCAGTGAATTCCACTACAACATCACAATGGAAAGATGTTTACTCAGTGCTCAGGAAAGGTGAGTCTATTTTCCACAGATGCCCCTTAGCATGATTCCCATATTGATGTAAAACTATACCTTTGAGATATCAATCTGCAGAAGGTTTGAACTGAAGGGTGCAGAAAATGGAATAGGCTGTGATAGGCTGACCATTCTTTCATTTGCATTTGTTGAGTTAAGTAAGTCCAATATAGTTAAAAGAGATACATTGACATGTAGCCATATTATTT